CTATTATAGATTTGGGCTGAAAACAATGCGAGACCAGATTAGTGGTTGTTATTATATATATAGCCTAAATATGACGGACTCGGTAATCTGTTCTGGTGTTCACCCACCCTATTTATTGACAGTGAAATCGTTACAAATTTGTAAAAAAAACGTATACACTATTTTATCAAACATTGTCTCACATACCACAACGGCTTTGTGAATGACAAAAGATGCATGAAATGTACAATTTGCTGATGTTGTACAAATTGTTTTATGGTTGGGTTAAATTATACTTTAAGACTCACCATGAGTTCTTATAAATGAGTGAGCTATCCTTGTTTTGTTACTAGAGTTGACTATTTTTGTTTATATTATTATAGAGTGTCGTATAAGTCTTAAGATTTACAAAATAAAAAATGGTAATCAGAAATCACTCAGATTAATTCATTCTTAGTAGGTTACATGCATAATTATAACATGTGGAATTAAGGGCTACTCACTGATACTACTTTAACTTCATCATCTGTGATCTTGACACAGACATAATAGGCCCTGGCTTGTCTTATTAGTCTTTCTCATTATCTTCTCGGTTGACAGCAGAGTGTTTTTAATAATGGCAGACACACCCGATCTGCGCACAACGATAAATGACTTAGTTTGTTGTGGCTCAATTTTGGCTTGGGATTTTTGTTGCACTTTGTTTAAGTTTAAGATTATTAATCTTCTTTTCGTCTTAACGATCTATAAATAGATAGATTTCGTCGTCAATGAGGTACTATAGATTTTTTTCCCCGAGCATGTCAATCTAGATATAGAAACGAGGCTATTCGTTTTACGCTTATGGCTTAGTGAAATGTGGCGCCTCCAATAATAAAAAAACTCAACAAGCCTGCCAAGTTTTGGTTCCCCCCCCCCCGAAAAAAACCCTGAAATAACGTTCCAGCGCCCCCCCCTCCCAGGCACATTGTTTTCACGCCCAGAACTATAATAGTCTTTAAATGACCCACCCGCCTTTTACACCACAGATTTATTTCACCAACCATTTCAGAAAAACAAAAGAAAATGTTACGCACCAAACATATGTGATATGTGTTTATCTTTTCTCTCACTTTTTAAAATCAATTTCTTCGCAAATTGAATGGATAACAAATACATATATTTGTGATAAATCAGTCATCCGCGCGCCACATTATTGAGGCGTGACGTGCCGTACGCGGCCTGCAAGCTCCGTTAAACGAACTCTAGGACACTAGTAACAACAAAATAAGAGAACCTGCTTGTCATAAGAATATAGTAAGCATTACGGTGGGTGATGATCTTCCCCTCATATTAAGTAGTTGCAGTTCTGTTGCTCACAGTTTAAGCACAGCAGAGGTGTACCTAGAGTTTTTTGGCACCAGGGTACAAGATTCATTTTTACCTCCCCCCACCCCCTCAACTCAGAAACCAAATACTGAGTAATAAAATACCACCAAAGCCCATGCTGGCACCCCCTCCGAACTAGTCTTGCACCCGGGGACATCTGTACTCCTCTGCTCTTATAGCATATATATAAATGAAAGGACTGCTTTTAAGCTTAGTAAATGAATGAAATAGCAAAACGAGGTATGCGGAAGCTTGAAATAAGATAACAGGACAACAAAAAAAAAAATAAGGACGTTTCGGCATAAAGCCTTCCTCAGCCAACAGTAGAAATGAAAATATAACAAAGAACAGAGCACAGTAGACAACTCAAGAAGTATCCATTCGTGTCGCCGGAAGTGGGAACACAGGAACACAATCCTATAGCTACGCTTCTGAAGCATAGAGCCTAGAGCGTAAGTTGTCTATGAAATATTGATAGAATTGAGAGAGACTGATCTTCATGATTCTCTATTCAGCTACAACAAATAGCTGCATTGTAAGTCTAAGGAGCCTGCCTAGTGCAGCTGGACGGAGATTGCGGCAGCCAGAGAGTGAAGCGCCCTACTGTTAGCAATATCGAGAGCAGTGCTTTCCAAACTTGTCATGCTGGTGACACACTTTTTAGACACATATCATTGAGCGACACAGTGAGTCTGTATCAGAAGGCCTTTACTTGGGGTTAAACTAAATCATTTTAAGACATATAGCACACCCAAAAAAAAAAAGGAAAAAAAAAGACGCAAGAACGCAATGTCATGAAACGATTTCATTTATATTTTAATTGCAACTTTGAGAAATAAATTAAAAAGCCAAATCTTCTTCTTCATACATCACTAGAATATTACAATCATTTGTTATTTCACCTATTGTTATGGCATATTTAATGTGAAGGCCTAATTTCAGCGACCACCGCTTGTCTCCACCTGTGTTTTGCTATGATATTGATGTCACTGAGTAAATATGCTGTGTCGTTCCTTACCCACCCCTCCTTTGATTGGTAAATCAAGGTTGTTTATGTTCGGTTCGAACGCGTTCTATTTGTTTTAGAGAATGCTATTAAGTTACGCAATATCTAGAAGCTCTTTACTAGATGGTTATGATTTAATTCCTATACACAGGCCGGCAGCTTTCCCAGCTGAGGAGAAAATTTTGCTATATTTCCTAACAAATTCGAAAGGTTAAATAGTTGTGTGTGTGTGTGTGTAAATTAAATTCATAGTTTTGAGGAGTGTTCCTAAAGTACATATAAATTCATCAAGATGAAATGAACGAAGAATCAAAATTACTGGCAGATCAATATCCCGCTGACTGGCATCAGTGAAAATCTTGTAATCGTGATAAGTCATTTTTCATCTGTTCATGACGTCAATTTCGGAGAGGGTCATTTCAACTCAGTTCATTGGAGCTACTTAATAGCTTGAAAAGATACACGCTGGAAGGACTCTTTCAAAATATATGCGTCTGCCTCCGTCTTGCTCCGTATTCTGTTCACTATTCATGCCACTGTCACCCAAACAAAAAGCTCATTCAGCAAACTAAATCTGATAAAAAATGATCTAGGTTAGACTATGTATCAAGGGAGACTGGTAGATTTGGCAAAACTCCGTATTGAGTCTGATCATGTAAAAACGATTAGTTATGATAATGTGTTTCGCAATTTTGCCTGGAAAAAGTCTAGGACAGCACCTTTGTTTAGCATAATATAAATGCCATTATACCTCAACTAATTGGTATGAGCTTGTAATCAATCTAGTATTAAATTCATTTCTTATGTATATTGTTTCATTATTGTTTTTAATACTTAGTATATTATTATGTTTATCATCCTTTACAGAAATACATGTCCTCTTTTTAATATTTTGCAAGTATGTTAGAATATAATTAATAAATTATGTCATTAATGATTTGCGTGTCCATGTGTAAGTGAGGTTGGATTAGTCTTGTTCAAGCACTTATTCTCTCACTCTCGGTTGACCTGCCCTGTGACAAGCGACCCAAAAGATTTTCTAAATGATACAACAGCCCACTTTTATATCATTTCTTAGGATTAATTAGCTCATTTTGCAATCTGCGTCTGCTGCCTGACACACATCTCACATACATCAAGGGACCATCCCGCAGGACTGCTAATGAGAATGGTGAGCCTTAGCATTGGTTTATATCTGATCTGCACATAGCTACATGTCAGTGGCGTCATTAGGGTGGGTATCAGTATCACCCAATGTGGTAAACTTACGGTGTCATTCCTACAGTCTTCATCCATGGACTTCCCCCGGGCGTCTTTTCTAGTGGCTACCTGCTCTGGTAGCATCTTGGTCTGATGGGTCTCTGCTCTGAGTGCAACATGTCTTGATGACACCCTGTTCTGGTGACAACCTGTTCTGGTGGTTCCCTGTTCTGTCAGATTGACAATGTTCCATTTGGTGAAGGTGTCACCTAGTGCTGTCCAACCCCCGCACACGTCTAGTGCTGCTACTGAGGGTTTAAATTTCACCACAGGGAATGAACATGTTGGTGTTTGCTAGGCATTCATGTGGAGTATTATTTCAAAGGAGAGTAATTAAAATGTTGCAATACAGTGCTGGGAGGCCGAGTGGTCTAAACTGAGCAAATTTCAAGTTGATGGTCTGGCGTTCAATTCCAGCAAGAGCCCAGTCAGGCAAAAACACCACCAGCACCCCGGGTGGATGGGACTCGTTAACCTTGGATGGCAACTCATCTAAGAGAAGGAAACTCTGAAATCAAACCCGAAAGGCAGATAACATTGATACAATGAAACATTCCGACAACTCCTGCGACGTCACTGGTGCCAAGCTGTATCATCCAATGATGTTCCCTTGGGTTACCCAGCGGCGTGGAGAGAGGCGATTTGCTGTTGGGAACCAGCTTATAATCCTTGAAGTATAATCTCAGGCCATGTAGATTTCGTCCTCCGAAGCCCACTCCATCGTCACATTGTGACGGACGGATGCCAGCAATTAAAATGTTAATTGACGATTAGAATGCTTTCCCGGATTTAAACCTTTAAGATTTGATTTTAAAAATAATTAATGTTACTTTAAAAACAGTTTAAGTGATTTGGATTTATAAACTTTATCATCATGTTTTGCGGGTAGCAATAAAAATAATTACGTCCATATTCAATTGAAAGGTAAGCTTAATATTATGCCTTTCATGTCATAAATATTCTTTTAGTTTTAGCACCATCACTGTCAGTCGATCAGTAGTATTACTTTATAATGGAAATTAAGATCAATTTGTATATAATAATTTAAGAAATCAATTTTGATGAATAAATAAAAGAACTAGAGTGACTATACTATTTATATATAGTTATGAACAATAAATACAACGTAATTATTTATGATATCCTCCGGAATTGTTAATTTTTAATTTGTTTTAAAATTAGAACCATTTCCATAACACATGTTTAGATCCAAAGAAACAGTTATTGCAGTGTTTTTGCAGACGACACTTAAAAAATTATTTACATTAAATTCCTAGCATGCATATTGTTTTAGGCGTTTGAAGTCATTTATCCTAAGATCTTGCAATGTTGCTTACCTGGCAATCCTGATAGCATACGTAATGCGCACAAAATTAAAAATAAAAATAAAACATATTCCAAAATGGCCGAATCCAGAGACCAAGTTCTCATTGACTTTCAGGTAAACTTCTTGTAGTTATTAGTTCATCCTAAATATCAAACATATATTTCATTATGTAATCTCAACAAAATCTAATTATATATTTCGATTTTAGTTATTGTTTTAATTCTCTTCTCTTTCCAGTATCTCTTCCCTTTTGCTCTTTGTCTACTTGTATGATTTTTATGAATCCATTCATATTTTTCAAATCAGCTGTTTCATTATTGACATGAAAAAACACGCAACAATAACATTTATATTTTCAAGATTGAATTTGGTCTCATTTTTGGAAATATTATTAAGAAAGAAAAAGTTGAAGAGTTTTATATTAGGTTAAATCGTACTTGAATAAAATTGTCAAAAATTATCTTAGTGATTGTGAGTGATTGTGTCATTGTCATTGTTGTTTGTTATTAATTTATTAATAATTTAAGTGTCATTAATTTAATTAAAAATAAAACATTAGAAATAAGATAAGAAAAGATCATTCTATTGATCCAAACAAATGAATATATTTTTTGATTGCTTTGTACATTTTCAGCCCATAAATAAAATAATTTGAACAGAAGACATCTATAGTCTATAGTCATAGTCTATATTAAATTAAATTATTTCACCAGTGAAAAAAAAAGCCATTAGTGAATTTTCTTACTCTCAGCCATATCAAGGACTTATTAGTTCTCATTAAGATTTGTGACTTCAGTGGGAGCACGCTGGTAAATTCGTACAGATTGGGGAACAAAAGAATTTTTATATCTTTCAGTCCTCGCCCTGACGGAAAGAATTCGTCCCAAACGGGCCGATTGTAAGAATCTGTGATGAAGAGGGTGGGATGTATCATCAAAAATGTGTTTACTTTCACAATAACATCTTTCTTCAAATAGTTCTTCAAGAAAAGGATTTATTTTGTGTTATGTTCCTAGCTTTCTTGATTAGTCGGTTTATGGGGGGTTTAATATCAGACGTTGAATTCCAACACCACAAGGTAATACTGAAATTAAGTAGGCTTCCAATTGTTGCACTTTAGAATAAGTTAAGAACTTTTTTGTTTACGCCGAAATTGTAGAGTTTTTTGAGGTAGAACAGTCTTTGGTTGAATTTCTTATACAGCATTTGGCCATGCTCATGCCATGTTAGCTTATTATTAATGGGGACATCTAAGTACTTATATGCCTCCACTCTCTCTACATTTGATTTTTTATGTTGAGATCTGTAATCTGGTCTTTCACCCACCTGAACAACCATTTGCTTTGTTTTTAAGACATTCAGCTGGAGAAAATTTTCATCGCACCAATTGATAACGCTTGTAACTAAGTTGCGGTATTTAAGCCTTCTCCCTCATATATTAAGATATGGTGGTATCATCAGCAAATTTTAAGATTTGAGTGGTGTTGCTTGAGCTCTGAATATCATTGGTATATATTGTATACAGTACGGGGGAGAGAACGCAGCCTTGAGGCGCCCCGGTGCATATTTCTCTGGTTAGAGAGAATTGGTCATTTACCTTGACATATTGTGGGCAATTTTTTTAAAAATGTCAGTATGCAAGCTTGAATATTTAGATTTACACCTAACGAGGAAAGTTTCTTTATCATAAGGTGTGGTTTGATAGTGTTAAATGCGGATGAGAAATCTAAGAATAGCACTCTGGCATATTTTTTTGGGGTGTCTAGGTGATGGTTAAGTCTCTCCAACAATAGTAAGATAGCATCCTCAGTGCTTCTGGCAGGTTTGTAAGCAAATTGGTGGGGGGTCAGTTTTTTGCTGTACTTCATTTAAAATTTGTCTCAGAATAAGTTTCTCAAAACATTTCATTCCAATAGAGGTACATGCAACAGGACGTAAGTCGTTGTTGCAACTTACCTTATTTTTCTTTGGAATTGGTATGATTTCTGAAGTTTTCCAAATTGTTGATAGTGTGTGAGTTATGTAAGATGTATTGAATTTGTAACCAAAAATGTAGGAGAGCTGCTCTGAGCGTAGTTTAATGATTTGACCACTTAATTTGTCTGGCCCCGAGGCCTTGGCTGCGTTCACTTGTTTAAATAATGATATCACTTCCTTTTTGGTGAACAATAAAGTATCAGTATTGCCTTTTTATTGATACCAAGTTTATTTTTTATCTTAGTTATGAAAAAAAGTTATCACATTTTTAATGTCACAATTTGGGCTTATATTATATAGAGCCTTACTTAAAAATTACCAAGTGACAGGGTAGGGCGAGTTGAGAGCTTTGAACTGTGATAGAACAATTTCGGCTTCCCAGGGTTCAAATGCGCATACGCACATCTCACCCTATCCATCATTGGCCAACTTTTTTTTACCCGAGTCTGTAAAGTAAAGTTAAATAGAACCCTCAAATTTTCACAATAGTTTAATTAGGTATTGGGCTTCCATAATAAGTTATTTTGGTGTTAATATTGACATAAATGTATTAATGAGTTGTATTTGAACAATAGAGGGTAATTAAATTTAATTTTAAAAATTAGATATGTTCTTCACTCAAAATATCTTTCAATTACTAAGAAAACCAATCTTTGAAAAACTTAAATGAGCTTGGAAATAAGAGTAGAGTAAATTGGCTGCTCTTTGTTCAGATCTGAAGAGTCCAATATTAACTCTGTTATCTTAGTCTAGTCAAATTTCTTTAAGAGTTTTACAAGGGTAGCTTTACCTTAAATAGGATATACCGGTTTAGCTCCACCAACTCTGTAAATAAAAATTCTGACAGTTCTTTATTCACATAATGATTGCAGCTGCCTTCTCTGTGAGTGTTAACGCAAACAATTTTCAAACTTTTACATCACTATTTGCTATTGTTTATTCTCATACAAATCAAAAGTTGTTGCTATATTCTGTATGGACATTGTATTTACTCTACATACTGGACACTGATGACAGCTTCATGGTTAATTGCTGACCATTAACAACTATATGACCCTCATTGACATGGAAGCTTCATTTTGTGATAGCTGTTTTGATATTAGTTCTGTTTGAAGTTTTGCACTTTAATATGTTACGACCTTCTTCTTTGAAGGATGTTCCATGCTTATCAAATCTTATAAGTGTTGTTTTGATTTCTGGCTCCCTTGTCTTACTTCACTACATAACACAGACATGCTAGGTCCACACTTAAGTTTAGCAACCAATCTTCAATGAAAGTATAACTGGCTTTATTATTACCGCAACTCACAGTTGACAAAACCTTCACAAAATTTTTCACTACCCTTCCTCTTGTCCTCAGACAACTCTCATCTCCACTGACTAACTAGCTTGCCCGTTCTCACTACAATGATCAGTCAGCATACTGATTATAAAACTCCACAAAATAACCTCGCGAACTGACCTTTCATCACCCGACAAATCACAACTCGCCCCCACAAAACCACTGACGAACTCAAGATGAACAACTTTCATAATCAAACATTCATGCTCCCAATTCCAGTTCATAATGTTAGCATCCCAAGAAACTCGCAGTGACATTCCTTTCATTGAATAATATTTCCCCTATCTGCAAATCAGAAATGAAACCCATCTCATTGGCTATTATAGATGATGTAGAGGGTCCCGGTTTACTTGTAACTTTCCATTGGCAGAGCTCTTTTGTAACAAATTAATTATTGGTCCTGTTTTCTCAATTGGAACTTGATTGAAAAGGCATAAATACATTTTCTATTGTATCACATAATTCCCATTAAAAATGGGCGGGGGGAACAAGTTTAGGAAATCAAAAGTTTTAAGTACAAATTAGCATTGTCTATCTTCCAGCACAGACACTTCATTTCTTTGCTATTAAAATCAAGCATTCTAATAAATTATAATTTTTTTTTAAAAGCATTCTAAATATTTATAAGTTCTGATTTGAACAGAGCAAAAAAAATTTTTTTTATTACTGCATTTTTTTATTTATGGGTTTATATATTTTTATCAACCTCTTAACTCCTCATGTAATTTTGATTGCCAATTCAATAAAAAAAAAAGGTTTTGCAAAAAAAGGCTTTGAACAAATCACTTGTATTAAAATATAATGTAATTATAAAAATGTTATGCCCACAAGAAAGTTATTAACCTTATTTTCTTTCCTTGATAATGAAGTATATTTTACCATTTACTATCATTTCACATTTTGGAATATACTTCACATCACAAAAACAAAACAAGTTTTATTAAAATTAGATGCATTGTATATTTAGTGGGGGGGGGGGGTATTATTTCAGCATAAAATGCATAGAGTCGCAAAACATTTAAATCTAGTATCCACATTAAGAAAGTTATAAGAATAAAGTGAATGAACTTAAATAATTTGATTAAATTTGAAGGAGAATGATTGTTACAAGCCCTAATTCTTTCACAAAAACAAAACAAGTTTTATTAAAATTAGATGCATTGTATATTTAGTGGGGGGGGGGGGGTATTATTTCAGCATAAAATGCATAGAGTCGCAAAACATTTAAATCTAGTATCCACATTAAGAAAGTTATCAGAATCAAGTGAATGAACTTAAATAATTTGATTAAATTTGAAGGAGAATGATTGTTACAAGCCCTAATTCTTTTTACACATTATCAAATAATGTGAACATTTGCTTTAAACAAAATATGAACATAATTTTTTTCTTGTGTTAAATCTTTTGATTTAAAAATTGCACCCCACACACCCCTTTTTATTCTTTAGGCTGTTACTGGTATTGATGACTTTGATTTGTGCACAAATATACTGACTCAGCATGACTGGAATTTAGAGGTAAGCAAAAAGAAAAGTTGTTTATTATATTGTTAATGAGTATTAATGACTTTGTTGGTATTTATCAGGCTTTATTTTTATCTTTATTTTACGGACTAAGCTACTGTATTTTTATTCTGGCATCAAAAAATTCCCTAATATTAACATTTTTTTAAAAACTTGCTGTTAAAATTAAGAAGCTTGGTGTCTTTAAAGTAATTTCATGTCAGTATTATTTAAAATTATGTTTGTACTTTTTCATGCTTATTTTTAATCTTGTACATTCTTGCTCATAGCGTGCAGTTAACAGCATCATGGGCTTTGGCCCATCTGATGGTGGTGGGTTTCCACCTGATGAGATAGGGCCCTCCCCTGCTGAAGGAAATATTGATGATTCAACAGCATCTTTAAATTCCATGGGGCTTGGATCAGAACGTTTGGAGGGACTTGGAATACATCTGCGACCATCTGATCATGGTGCCTCTGATATGGCATCAGGACCTTCCTATAGCTCATCACCACTTAACTTTTTGGGGCGCATGATTCACTTCACTGTTGAATATAGAGACAAGAACATTCCAGTTGTATTAGCTGATACAGAAACTGTTGGTATGCAAGTATTGTTTAGTTTGAAGCATTAAAAAAAAATGTATTTCCTTGTTCTCTATAGGACACTGCAACTGCTTGAAGAAGCAGGGGTTTTTGCCCTTTTTCATCTTTTTTGCCTAGAAACAGTATCTCTAAAAGTACAAACAGAGGTGGCGATAGACTCAGTCGGCTTTTTTTTTTTTTTTTTTTTTACCAAAGTAGTGTCTGTCACCAGGCCTGCATCTAGGTTTTTTTACCAAAGTAGTGTCAGTCACCAGGCCTGCATCTAGGATGGGGAGACAACCATGGCACTCGTCAGGGGCCCGAGCTAGATAGGGGCCCACCGTTTTTCGAGTTTTAAAATATACATGCATGTTTGAAACACAAAAGGGCCTCGGACTCTGTCAGCTGCCTGGGGCCCAGAATTTCCTAGGTGCGGGCTTGCAGTCACTTCAGTTTTGCACTTTATTATTAGTAAACTGAATCTTCCAGTCATTGGTGTAATAAATTAAAAGTTTGTTTAGAGGATAATAGTTGTGTGTGGAAATGATATTTAACATCAATATTGCGTAAAAGATTTTCAAAGAATTAATTTTATTAATGAAGTACATGAGACGATTCGAAGTTGAAAACTAAAAATTTAACGTTAAATGTTAAATTCTTCATAAATGCTTCATAAATTAAATTTTGTCATTATCAAAGCAATAAAGAAACTTAATCTGCAATTATATAGTTTATTCTAGTTTCATTTTTAGTTTCATTGCAACAATGTCAGTATGCTTTCAAATTCTAAGTTGCTACCATAACCAGTACTCAAAATTTCAAATACGCCTAACATGCACAAAAAGCATACTTTTGGGAAGGACTAGCATTTAGATTTACAATGACACCAAGATTACCTTTCTATCACGTATAGAATAAAAGTTATGGATATTTTTATCAACTTTTTTAGGCCTAAAACCATAATCTTTTTTTAAAATTAGTTTTTAACTTTCTTATTTTTAAAGGTGTAGCAATCAAATTATATAGAGAACAAAGCAGTTTTTTTACAAAATAAAACACATAAAAAGTGAATTAATTATATATTTTTCCTTTAATTGTCAATGATACTTTTCAAAATAAAAATAAAATAGCATAACTATTCAATTAATTAAGCTATTGAAATACAATTTTCCATACTAACAGTTAGTGTCCAGCTGAAATTTAGTCATTTATTAATTATGTTTTCCCATTAAAATAGTTAACCTTCTCATTTTAAAAAAATTGTTGAAAAGCTACTGAAGCCGACATATTGGTACATTTAAATACTTAATTTAAAACTAAAAAGCTGTAGCAATAAAATTTTCTAAAGTAACAGATATTGCTCCGCTGAAAATAATTAACCTCATATTTTAAAAAAAATTGAAGAAAAGGTATTGCAGGCTGACATCTTGGTACCTTGAAATAGTTCATTTTGAAACTATAAAGTCGTTTTAAGAACAAGTTTGATGAAAAGCTACTGCGGACAACATATTGGTACATTTAAATACTTAATTTTTAAACTAATAAAGTTATTGTAAAAAATTTTACACAGTAACAGATAGTGCCCAGCTAAGAGTTAAGAAATATTATTATTATTTATTCCACTCGCTAGGTCTCAAATGCTTATAAATTTGTTTTTTCGCCATGTTCATAGCCAACTTTGTAATTCTTTCTACTTCCCGTAAAGAACAATAATTCTGGGTGACAATGGAAGTAGTAACCCCAGTTGCAGTGCCCTATAAATAGGGACAATGAATGCAAAAAAAAACGTTCATTTTATAAATTGTATAAATATTTTAAAATATTTATAATTGTAAAAATACTTTCACCATAAACTTATTGTTTTCAGGTCGTATCAAAGAAATTCTTGAAACAGAATTAGGCGTGCCTAGAGATAAACAGGAATTGAGAGGATTAGTGAAGCGCAAAGTGGATGACTCGGTACTAGCTAATTTTTGAAAAATATTTTTTGTTTACTTTGTCATGTGTATAGAACATTAGTATAAAATTAAACAAAGAAAAAAACACAAATAAATCCAATGTTGTTGAAGCTTTTCAAAATCTGTTTGTTTTTCTATAATATGTCTATTTCAGACTATTTTAAGAGACTTAAACTTGCCCAAAGAAAGAAACCTTTACTTGCTGACACCTCAAATAACAAATCCAACTGTAAATAAGACACAGTCTCAAGAAGGAGAAGGGTAAGATTTTTTTGCTTGATCCATTGGCATCCATATATAATTATTACTGCATTTCAGAAACCAACTTTCAATCAACGTTAAATTTATATCTAAAACTGTACAAGTTTTGTTTATGTATGGACTCTCACTTATTTGTCATTAATAGTTGCTTTCACTGCACTATCAAATTTTGCTATTCCTGACACTAGACTTATTTTTTACATCAATGTTAATGATTCTGTATTTTTTAAATTACAATTACCAAATAAACTAATTTTGAAAAAAAAATGTATAAGATACTTTAATCAGACTGTTTATTTTCAGTACATCACAGGGCTTGGAAGGTGAAAGAGAATATACACTAAAAATTACATTCAAGCATGATTCTAAATACAGGAACTTCAGCTTAAAATTCGATTGTAATAAAACTATCAGAGAAGTAAGAAAATTCAATAATTTTTCATTTTCCCATAAAAATTACCCATACATATTTTATAAAAAAGATTCTGAAATATTACCTACACAACCTGGTATCAAATTTAATTAACATACTCTCTTTGTTTCTTTTAAAAATATTTATATTTTTAATTCCATTACTGTTTGTTTTAGATTAAATTAGAAAACAATTTGAATTCTTGTTCAGATTAGAATGTAACTTTTATTGATATTTTGAAAGTCTAACTACTAGCTTTAATAAAACTATGTATCAACAAATAAATAAAAAGATTTATATAAACTTTCTGTTTAATGTTTATAAAAAAAATTGCATAATTATTATCTACATAGAGCAGCATTGTTGTTAAGCGTGCTCAAAATGGAAACTATGCTGCCTTATTTTATTGCACGATTTGAAATTTAGTTTCATATATTTACATAATTGGTATAGTAAATGTCGAGCTAATATGATGAATTTAAAAGTTACTTGACACTGTGATGTGAATCGAATTTCAGACTAAAAAGCATTCCCTTAACCCGAGATATAAGTATTTGAATGTAATTCCCAAACGAAACATAAGGATATAAATGCATACATACTTACATCACCCATCAGTGTTTGAAGTTTATAGAAAGTTGGTAAAAATAGTTTTCATCCAAGACAATGTCACCAAACTTTTGTCTTTTTATTCTTTCTGTTTGAGTAATTTTATGTTCATATCTCTATTATATGTGATCATTCAAACATCTTTAATTTTTATATCTCTTACTCTTAAAAATATATATTAATCTTATTTTGAAAGGTGAAGCAAAACTTGTTCACATTGACAGATGTACCAGTGAGACACCAGGTTTGGACTGGTTGGACAAAGCCAGTCTCAGATCAGGTAAACAACTGATTTAAATGCAGTTGCTGATTTTTATATGCTTATTAATGCAACAGATGATAGGTAGCAGTTAATGTCTGTGTAAAAAGCATCTATCAAAGAGGTGTTTTAATTTAACTCAGCATTTATCCATAGAAATATTTTAACACATTCCTTCATAATTCCCCCCAACCAACATCCTCCAAATTTCAAACATGCACCTGGCCACAGACAACCTTTTGCAGTAGTATGCCTTTTAAAAATGTTTTTGCATATGTAGCGTTGTTAAAAAATTATGATTTCTTAATTTCATTATCATTTGAAACTTAATAATAAAATCAATTGATCACTTTTAATTTTTAAAGAGAGAGAGAGAGGTTTTATGTCAAAAGCAGTTTATGCAGGAGTGGGTTAAGAGTCAATGATCTCCAAAGACTAAGTTTACTAAAGGACAAGATAAAAGACAAGTAAAGATTAATGTGACATAGTATTTAGGTAACAAAACATATATTTATCTTTAAGGGTGAAAGTGGATCCCTGAAAGTCTTTGTTTATCTTTTAATATTTCAGGAGTAGAAATATGACTCACGTGATATAGAAATCATTGTTCTATGATTTTTATCTTTATTTCAATTGATAGGATAAACTTTTCAATTGTGGTCTTCATTATCCATCACATGACTTGGAAGTCACCAGATCAGATATCTCACATACCTCAAAGCCCCAAGATGCAGATGTGAGTGCTTTTAGCATTTCTATCGAAATTAAGTCAATTTTTTCATGGAATTACTTTTTTAGTATGCTTATTGAAGGTGTCTTTGTATTGTGAGCTCCCCATTTTCTCATTTCAATTTATTCTGAGGCAATGATTCCATAAACATTGCTGGATTAGTATCAAAAGTGGGATAAATAATATTTTATTTTGTGAAAGCTGATCTACTTCTCAAAAGCCTTGATTGAAGAAAAAAAACTGATTATATTTTCATTAATAATCAAAATTTCAGGAGTTTAAACATCTTTTAAAACAATTAGTTAAATTTCATAGGAAATGGAAGTTGACACTGATGAGGAAGATGACAATGCGTTGGAACATTATTCATTAGATGATGACCTCTTCTCACAAGATGAGTTGAACTCATCTCGAAGACTTCAGCAGCTCAGTAAGTGTGACTTGTGTTAATGCGTTTTACATTTGAAACTACTTCACTGGAGCTTATACACCATTGGCGTGATTCCACCCTTGGAACTAATCTATGTGACTTGTAATTTAGAATCATTCATATATTTAACCCCTGAGCGGTCAGTTTAGAATTTCCCTGAAAAAGAATATAAGTTTATAACAATTCTTAAAATATTCAGGCAATACTTTATTCAGTACTTAGAAAAGTTGCAGACCCCTACCGTATGTCTCCATTGCTTATGTTGAAATTGTTTCTGAACCATAACTCAGTTTATTCACGCACCATTTAACTTGATATATTGAATTAGTCTTGATCATTTCAAAATATAAACATGAGGATTCTTGTCCAGTATAAAACAAATCAAAGTAATTTAATTACATTCTAGTGCCTGATGGCATTGACAATGATAAGACAGCACTGGAACACTTCACCAAAGAATTTGCCAATAGGTAAGAATCTGATTTTGTTTTTTAATTCACCATTGAATATGGTTCTTTTAAGAAAAGAAGAAAAAAGTTAGCTACCCTGGCACACTGTTAATAATAATATGTATTATTTAATTGCATCAATCAAACTGTCAACTTATCTCTCTCCTTGCCTTATAATCGTCATTCAAGTTGCTCAACCCTTACCAAATCTCACATTGCAAAAAAATTTATATTATCAACTCAAACAAGTATTTCATCATTCTTATTTTGTTATTGTTTTTTTTTTAATTGTTCAAATGGACAGTACAGTAGGGTGCTATTGAAATGAGGGAGGGGGCTGGTCTTACATGTCGTGTATAAAAAGTTTGTATGCGATCGCAAAATATATACACAGATTTTTTATAACAAATATTTGTGGATGATGATGCTAGAAACTGTTTTATAATTTTGAAAGAATATAAACAAAAGAAAAAGACATATCTAATTAAGAGAAGGAAGATTTTTTCAACTAAAATATGATAATTTATATCATTCTCATCATGTGAAAGAAAACTTTTAGCATAATTTTATTTACAAAAGTTAGAACCAAATATGCATAAACATTTTTATTTTGTTTAAAAAAAACTTTTTAGTGAAGGTGTTTAAAGAAGATTTTCAACGCATTTATGCAACTACATTTTTTTGTTTTGTTTTCAGATATGGAGAATGCCACCCTCATTTCTTCATCGGTAGTCTTGATGATGCCATTCAAGAATCTCTGGTTGTTAAAGCTACAGATGTGAGAATTTTATATGTGAACAAATAATCTCAAAAAAGTTTTCTCTGCATATTTTCAGTTAAAATTAACCAACTATGCTATCAGAAACTTAACATTACCAACAGTTTTCTAAGACCTGTTGTTTTTTTTTTTCTAGCGCAAACTTTTAGCAGTGTACCTTCATCATGACAGCAGCATTTTTGCCAATGTATTTTGTTCTCAATTATTGTGTGCTGAAGGCATTGTGAATTACCTCAGTGTGCATTTTGTGACTTGGGCCTGGGACTTGACATCTACAGAAAATTCTAAAAGGTATACTGGATATTAATCAATAAAACAGCTCAGTTACATCAAAAACATTCTTTTCAACAAAAGCTGAAATGTTCTGGATTAAAATACAGTTTCTTTAGGGAACATTTAAAAAAGTAATTCAAATTCCAAACAAGTATGTTCATATTACTGAAAATAGTTTTAAAAACATACATTAGGTCTAAAACTGGACCGAATCATATAATATTCCATCTGTGAAATGAAATATCTCAATAATTCTAATAAGTGTCTCAATTTTGGCATCAGAGCCGTTCTTATAGTTTGGGGGCCCTAAGCATAGAGCGTAGGTTGGAGCCCCGGAAGGGGGGCGGGTCTGGGGTTGGAGCTCCCTCGAGCTGAGGAGAAAACACCACCCACCGCTGCGGCACCTCCATTCTGCCTTCATCAATTTTTCTTCTTTCCCATTCCCACGGCCAAGCCCCCCGATTGCCTGTCTGCCACCCCCAAAGCTCCCCCCCTGCTGCTTCCCTCCCCTGCCTCCGAATTCAACTCAGAATGATAAATTTCAGGATGAGGAAAGTAAATTGAGTGACACAGACGGCTGTAGTGCCAGTTAAAAAAAAAACAGGGTTCGAGGGCGCCTCACGAGGGCCCCCTCACGTTCGGCCCCTCACGTTCGAGGCCCTATGCGGATGCGTAGTCAGCGTATGCTTAAGACCGGGCCTGTTGGCATTCCAAAAGATAATGGACTAAGGGATACACCTTTATTGAAAATACTCTATGCTGAAATAAAATAATTTAAATAGAGGCTTATGGTTTTATTGTTAAAAAAATTAATAATAAGATTATTACTTTTGTTCATCATCTTTTCAAAAGAAGGGTGGTTCTTTAATTCAGGCTCTTGAAAATACTAAACCTGTGTGGATCCAATTATGAAACTGTGAATATTAATAAATTCATTGAAATTATTTTTTACTGACAAACCATTGTTTATTGTAGATGCTATAAAAATTATGCAGGAAATAAATCCTTCTTGCTGTTGATTTAAAAAATGTCTCTGTGACATTTAAATTTTCATTTGTCAGATTTGTTCAAGCTGCCACTCGCCACTTTGGCAGTGTAGCGGCAACACAGATGAGGAGTTACAGTGCGGATCAACTGCCTTCTCTCCTGCTTATATCAAGAGCTAAAGCCACAAACGAGGTCATTGATGTAATTCAAGGTTTGTTCCAGTCAGTTATTAATTTTATTGATTTGCAATTCTTCCCATTTGAATCATTTTAATTATCTTAGTTGCTGTTATTGATTTTTACTTTGTATAATTATGGTTTTGTTAATAATCTGTACTACTTTCAATTGAAGGGAAATATAATTTTTAAAAGGGTTCTTGTCATATTTTAAAAATGCCTGTATTTTAATTTATTTTTAAAGATAACCTAATGAGTGTAGAGCTTAATAAACTTGAGCTTTAAATACAGTTTTAGAACATGTAAGTCAAGGTAAAAAAAAAAATTTTTTTTAATTCCGAAAAGTTGTATACAAACATGAACAACAAAAACTTATTTAACTGTGAATGAAACAAATGAACACAATGCTAGCAGTTTTTTTCTTGAATTATATATAGTTTAACTGTGAGAGATATATTACAGATCATGTCTCAGAGCACAGAACTGACATTGTAAGGGATGACTACTAGTACCTTAACTGAAAAAAGCTGACAAATCTTAAGTGTCTGCAGTTGTTAAAATAAACAAATGATTTCTTGTATCAACAGGTCATGTGACTCTAGATGAAATGATGACACGTCTTATCCATGCCGTAGAAGTATTTCAGGAACAGAAACAGGCAGACATCAATGAAGAGGTTAGTCGCATATAAGTGGCTGGAAACCAAATAATAGTATGCACCCAAGGAAAGAAATTAGCATTGAAACAAATTGGAGCTGACTTTTTTTTTGTGGGGATTAAAGACTTTGGAAAGCCATTTTCACTCCTCAAATATAAATTCTATCACTGCTGTGCTAAATTTGATCATAATTTTTAAAGTTTGCATATTTATATCTAAATAGTAATTTTTGAATATAACTTTTTGCTTAGCAATTTATCTATGCTGTTTGTAATTATCTGGTTTACTTTGTCCTCTTATAGAAAGAAAGAGAAGCTAGAGAAAGAATTAAGCAAGAGCAAGATGCGGCTTATCAAGAGTCATTAGCAGCAGATAGGAAAAAGGTAGGAATATGTATTATGTATGTTTTCAGAAGAATTGGAAGTGCACATGAACTTAATAATTATTTAGTTTTAATTTTAACATTATATAGTTCTAATATAATGCTGAATAGAGTTTAAATTGCTTACACTATATATTTTGATTATATCACATCATTTTTGATTAATTTATTTTAATTGTAATTAAAACGGAAAGAACTTAATCTTATGTTAAAGAAATTCTTCGTGCCATACGGTTATGTAAATTCTACAGAATTTTATATTTAAAAAGAGGCTATATTAGTGAATTATATCATTAATTTTATTTTTTCACAGTGCAAGATGATTTGCATTTAATAATCTCTGTTGACAGGCTGAAGCCCAGAAAGTTGAAGATGACAAACGCAGAGAAGAACAAGAACGACAGATTGAAGAACAGAAAAAGTATGAAAATCAAAAGAAGGAAGCAGAACTGATAAAACAGGTTGGTCATGTCACATTGTGTTATTAATGGGGTGATGCATTAAGATCAATTTTCAAATTTTTAGAAGAATTTATTTGAAAACTACCAAACAAATTCAAGGTATGTTGTTAAGTCACATGTTATTCAAACCCATCATCCGTTTTTACCTGCTTTACATGGCAAGTGGTAATTACAGTAAATTATTCTGTGAACTGCTTTTTGGCCAACCAGGAAGGATGTGAGACATGGTATTTTCTTTTTATACATTAGTGCAGTGATTAGGAACCCGTAAGGAATAGATGCAACTCTGTTTTTACAATTGTAATCTAAATGCCATGGATCTCCCAAAATATTTTATAAACAGATATCATTTATACAAATGGCTTCTCAAAAAGTTTGCAGAACCATGCATTAGTGAATCAGATGAAAATATAACAGGTCAAGGAGCTGGAGGTCAGATACTTGGAACTGATTTTTAGTGCACTTGTTGATTAAAACATGATAGTTTTGTTTAGAAACTTCAAATAAATCTTCAGACCATTAAAAAGTGTTCAAAAGCATATATCAAAAGGAAATAAGAAATTATAATACAGTGGAACCTCTCATAACGAGTAATTCCCATAACGAGCAAAAAAAAATTTGAAGAAGTTGCTCCCTTAACGAGCGAAGTTACGCAGAAAGGGGAAGTCCCTTTTTCCCTCACTTCTGCTTGGAAAAAACTTTGGCCAGAGAGTGTTGTTAAATGTGATTTTGAAACAGTACCTGTGGAGTCTACAGTTAACGAGATTGTGTCATTCTCGAGGTGGACAACAACGATATTGAAGAGCTTGTCAAAGAGCACAGTCAAGAGTTGACCACCAAAGAGCTTATGGAGTTCCATCGTTTTTCACAGCAAGAAATTATGGAGGAGAGCTCATTAATGGAGGAGGAAGTAGCAGAGCAACAATCTTCTAGCGCAATAAGAGAAATGCTAAAAGCATGGGAAACTGTTGCATCGTACATTGAGAAGCATCACTCTAATTAGGAGGTGGCTATTCGTGCAACAAATTTATTCAATGATAATGCTGTGACACATTTTCGTCAAATTTTGAAGCGTCGGCAAAAACAAATTTCTTTAGACAGTTTTCTAGTTAAAAACGATTAATTATCTGTCATAAATTCATATTTTTATTTACATTTTTTGTTTCAAATCTAAATTGTATTCCAAGTTGTTACACTCCTTAACAATTCATAAATAATTTAATTTGAATAAATGCTAATAAAATTTGTTGAAAATTTAGTATTTTTTCAGCATGGAACGCATTATCGTATTTTACATCGATTTGTATGTGGAAAATTGTTTCGTTTGACGAGTGTTTCGCTTAACGAGTAAGATTCTGGAACGAATTATGCTCGTTATGAGAGGTTCCACTGTACTTAAATTTATTTTAATACAGAAAATCAAATTTATCATCTTTTTGTTTTTGTTGCTTAAAATAGTAATGTGAGTTTAAATCTTAAGTGAATGTCAACTACATTTCGCCGCCTGCAATTGTTTTTTTGTGTGTGTTATTTTACTTTTCTAACAGGCCATAAGTAAATCCATTGCCAATACAGTTCCTGATGAACCTCCTGAGAGCAGCTTGAGTCGTGTTTGCTCTTTAAGATTTAGAGTTCCTCACGGCCAAATACTCACTAGGAGATTTTTAGCAGAAAACAATCTCGGGGATCTCCTTAATTTCCTCACATCAATGGGCTTTCATAAAGAGGATTACAAAGTTATTACAACATTTCCACGTCGAGATGTAAGTACTTCTTTAAAATTATTTTTATTGGCCTACCGTGGCTCTCTTTTTAGTTTCTACTTCTAACATGGTCTGTGTAATTGATGAATTATTTTATATTAAATTGATTTATGATCTAAAGCAGGGGTCACCAAACGTTTTTCACGGCGGGGCGGACACAGAAAAAAATTACGAGCGCGGGCCAGATAATCATTCTGCACAATACTTGCTAGCCAGAACCAAAGCTCTGGGGAAAAAAGACGAAAAACATAAGTTTAGTATTCCATGTTAATCATGGGTGAGTGGCGTGCTATGCAAAAAAAGCAAACGCAACCAACATATTTATTTACTAAAAAGGTTAGCAAAGAAGGCGACGTTAGCAAAAAGATAGTTACATCAGACCTAGTGCGCACATATTCGAATCTCGCAAACTAAACAGCAAAACAGGTTGGTGAGATTTGTGATACTAACATTTGGCTTTCAAGATATCATCAATGTTTGGTTTGGAATTGCTGCATCCAATCAAAAGAATTTTTTTCAAATGCTCATCAATCTTTCTCGTTCGATGTGTTTATTTCACCTGCTTTATTTTTGAAAAGGTTTGCTCACAGACATAAGTTGTTCCATGTATGCTGCAAACGGATGCCAACTCTTCCTTTCTATGAAATTGGAAGTTTTTAAATGATGTCAATATTTGTTAATTAATTGTTATATAAATACATCTTGATCTTTATTCCCTGTATATTGGCCAGTAAAATATAAATGTGAAGAATTAATGTTTATTACTTTGAATTGGACTATCCTGAATTCAGAGATTATTCTTTGCATTTATGCTATACAAATTTAGAGTTGTCTCACATGTCAGGGAATCATAAATACAAAATACCAAACATTTTATTTCTCCAGCTTTCTAGTATGGATACATCCTACAGCCTAGAGACATTAAAATTGTACCCACAAGAAACATTAATACTTGAAGAACGGTAGGCCAGTGAGATTATTTGCTACATTTTGGGAAGAATGGTGCTCTTTATCAATTTGTATGTACAAGTGTGCAAGAGATTATCAACAGTTCAAGCAGAACAAAAAGACATCAAGTTGAAATAAATTTTCAGTAAAAAAAAATTTGTTTGAGATCTTCACAAGTACCACTATTTATTAACATGGAATTTCTTTAGAAAATTTGATGCGCGCAATTCAAATATAGTTGAGACAGATTTTATTTTCTAATAATTAACAAAAATATTTGCGTTAAACAAAATTGGGCATTATTTAAAAATGCAATAGAAAAAATGTTCATTAGAAAAACCTAACTTACGTTTGATTCTCAGTTTCATTACATTGTTTGGGGCATAAAAGACATTTTTTAAAGCTTTTTTTTTTATTGGCCAGCTATAATTGTCAATGAGGTGGCAAAATATTATCCTCTGTCATAATATTGGGATTCTCATTGGTTAACTGAACTATTGCCTGCATGATGTGATTGCATTGTTATAAAACACATTGTTTAGGCTGGCTAATGGTTCAATACTGAAATGAAGTCTCATGAAATACAAAATCTCTTACTTCTTTTTTTCTATGGAAAAAATTTGTAAGGTCAAGGCTGATGATTAACTTTAGTTCTTCAGGTCTTGTTTTGGCATTGGACAATATATAAAAGTAGTTAAAGAAGTAAGTGTAACAAATAAATCATAACAAGTTTTAAAAAACTGAATATATTTCAGAATTTAGTTATTAATCAAAGCATATAAATATTCATACATGATATTTATATGTTAATTTTTATGCACTTAATTTTGATCATCAGCTTCCTTGGGGAAATTTTAAAAAATTTTTGCCCTAAAAATTAAACAAGCGAAGGCTGCTCTTGCTTGGATAGATGGTTTGTAAGCTAATGCTCAAAAACTCCTCCACATAGTCAGCATTAGTTTACTTGCTTCAAATTTTGTTGTAGCTAAAACTTAGTTAATTAATAGAGATGGTTGAGTATTCTTTATGTCTAACAGCTGTGAAAAGCAATTTACCCATTGAAAATAAAGAAAACTTAATTATATTTTTAATATTAATGAAATATATATGTATTTCATTTTTGATAGAACTTAGTGGCCACGGATGAAGCTAAATTTTTGTGTGAATATCTCAGTCATGTACAGTTGGTTTTTATTATATTTATGCCTACTCTCACTCTCCTCTTTTAATCTCTTAATTCCCACATGAGTGAGATTACTCTTAGACTGCCATAAATGGAAACTGGCTTTTCCCTTTTTGTTAAGAATTATCATTGATGCCAGATTTTCAGCAAAGCAATTTTTATAATTTTTCTAGATATTTAAAAAAAAACTTGTTCCTTTTGAGAAAAAAAAAGCTATGTCTCAGGACATAATTTGTGTAAAATTTTAAGCACGGTACATGATTCATACCGGGTATTTAAGTATGTATATCCATGAGGGATAATACTTTGTCAAAACGTTTATTACTACACATTACAGCCAAAAAAATGTGACTGGTAAGAATATTAAAAAAGCTGTAGTTTCATTTTATTTATTTAAATCCAACATTGTGACAACTGCCTGCCCTCAGGTCACATGATGTACTAATTGACTAAAGCTTGAATTAACACTGTGATAAGTGTTCATATCATCAACAAAATGTCAGATTAAATTTTTAAAAAGCTTTGAATTAACATAAACTTTAGTTTGATTTTGAAAATGAAATAAAAGTGTACAAAATTGTGTAAACATTCCTTTGTTGTTTGTATTTAATTATTTTAAATTCAAGCTATGCATTCTGTTATTGCTTAAAATGTATTGGAAAATTCAGACCTAGTTTTTGCTAAATACTAATAAGTAAAAAGATCTTTAATTCAATTCCAATGAAACATTGAACATTGCTTCAATAGAACTGATCAGCGTTATTACAAAGCCATCTACATATTTTGCTTTCTTTAGAAAAAGTGTTTTTCTTTTCTGACAGTGCCAAGAACTGGTTTGAGATTAAAACCGTTTTTTTCCCTTCAAATTATTGAATTTTTTTTTCTTAATTGCATGGAATTAATCACAGTTTTTGTGCATATTCAGCTTGAATAAACAATTCTTGACTAAATGAGTTAAAATGGCACAGATTAAAATAAAATTATAGTTATAATTGATTTTTTTTAAAATTAAGATATAAGCTGCCAATTATTTATGATTATATATTAAACATCATTTTCATGGGTTGTAAATTAAATTTGGAATACTGTCCTGATACATCAGTATTAAGCTTACTTAAAGTAGTTAAAGAACAAGAACAAAAACTGCAGTAGTTTATTTATTGAACATGTAATGTTAAAACATGTATCCATTTATAATTGTTATTTTCACCAATTAAGTGAATTAAAATTTAATACAAATATGGTTCCTAAATCTTTTTTGGCGAGTAATAAATTGCTTTTGAACCATTATACATTTATAAAAATAAATAAAAAACATTCTTGCAAACAAACATTTATTTTTAAGAGCAGAGAAATAAAAAAAAATCCCAGTAGCATTGCAAAAGGATTATTTAGCTGTGAAGAAATGCCAGTGATTTGATGATTTTTGAGTTGATTGGATCAATATCTTTGATTTCTGTATATTTCTTGCAATAAGTTAAGATTAGATTCACATAATACAACCTTTAATTTATAATAAAACTATTTTAAGAATATTAATGTACCAGTACACCAGTTTAGACAATATCACAGTTTTGTTGCCAAGATTCACCAGGTCCAGACGATATCTTCTCAACATCTTCTCGACAGCTATTTGTAGTAAAAGTCAATTTGTATCTTATAATTGACTGTAAGCAGTACATAACTTTTAATACACATCAATCAAGCTCTCATAGCTTCTTCCTCTTCAACAAGTTTTAAGGCCTCTTTAAATGTTAGTGTTGGTTTTCGATTCTCATCAATATACTGAAATATAATTTTAAAAATTCACAATTACATAAACCATAAAAAAAAATTTGATTATAAAAAAAAGTATGGTCATGTCCTACTGAGTCTAGAGACTTAAGTAATTTAAGAAAAATTTTAATAAGTGAGGAAAAAAGATGTTAGCTATTGCAAAATTTTGGTTCAAATTTGTGGGCCTTCTGGTTAATAGAAAGATTTATCTGCATCCTTCAAAAAAAAAACAACCTATTTAAGTTCTATACATTTGTGATAACATCAGTTACTTTAAATTCATAACATTTGTTCGACAGTAAAGAAATGATCACCTGTTTCACACTGTGACTGCCTCTTTTAGTGCATAGTTATATAATTGATTAATGTCATTTAATAACATTTACACTCAATCACGTTTAAACAATATTTTCCGAGGCTAATGTGTAATTCCAAAGATTTATAGATAAATATGAGATTCAAAATGTACCTTTTTAGTATCTTCCAAAGTTGTGTATTTATAATCATAGCTTAATCCAGCCATACAAGACTGGTATATTCTGCTTTGGATGTCCACAAAGTTTCTGACAAGATTCAGCTGGGCTCTCATCATTTCCTGTAGTGCCAACATGTTAGGGCTGTAGGCTGTCAGAGCTAAAACAAAACAAGGTTAAAGGTTGACAATATTAATCATCCAAGTACTAAAAGTTCTGATATATTATGATTAGTTTGGTGCATCACATCAAGACAATGTTACATTTAGTCCTTCATACTGTTTCGTATTGATACCATTGTCCCTTAAATTTAATAGATACAACTAATTCAGATTTTGAAATAATGTAAGGATCACAGCAAATAAAACAAACTGAATTCACTTGCAAATGGCCAATTATAATGTTGCTACTTTATGCTCCGTGGTGCTCTGTGTTCCTCACAGGGACTTGCAAATTTTTAACAATGGTAAAAGAATATAATTGAGTTGCATTGCAACACAGCATTGAAATAACATATGATGGGATCTGTATACTGAATTATGGATATCAGTAAAAGATATATAACGGTAGCTTCTTCTGAATGGTAAAACTCTGAATTTTATCTTCATTCACGAGTTATTTTTGCGAAGCCAGCCGTAAAAAAAAAGTTATCTAAAAATAAATGTGAAGAAGAAATTGAAAGTGGCTATGTCCAATTAATTTGATTCCAAGATTTGAGAAAATGTGCAACAAACAACTCATCCCACCAACTACAATAAGTTGAATTTTTTCCATTTCATGTTTTATTATCTTTAAGTAAGTGTTTTATTTATTTTTACCTAACCCATAAGCAAAAAAAAATAATCCCTATTTCATGGTATATGGTGAATCAGAAATTGGCATAGGGCAAATGGGAAAACTCAACAGTTAGGGAGCCACATGTCTATGGCATTTACCGTTTGCAAGATGTTGGCATTTGAAAGTATAATTGCCCATTGCATGTGTGAGAGGTAAATGTCAATTTTAAAATTTAAAAAAACATGTTTAGATTATTTTTTTAAAAATAACAGGACTTGTAGACAAATTATTCGTTTTTTTTAAAAATAGTATGTATTAGTGAATTTCTGATTTAGCTAAAAATAAACTATTTAACACTGGTTTTTTCAATCAGATAACCAATCCGAAAGAATTTTAATATGAAGGAGAGAGAGAAAAAAAAGACAGATAATAATCCATGTTTAATTAATACTAGAGGCCTAAATCTGTTGACCATCTGGTAACCCAAGGACCAATGAAAATCTCCCACTTCAACAACTATTTTGTGTTGGTGGCCCAATCAGATAGAGCCAACCATTCTGTGCTTCTATGACATGGAGAGTGTGTGCCAAGAATAATCAATAAACATTAAAATAACTAGATTTTTTTTTCTGTTTGTTATGCTATTGATATTAGCTAACAAGAATGAGAGATGACCCAGGGGTTGTTTAGCAGGTATAACACTTGAAACAATGACTGGCTGTAAAGACTAGGTGTTATATTCACATATTATATTAGGGTAAAGTAAAATGTGATTTAAAAAAACTGGAGTGTTAGAATGCTTAAAAGAACAACTGCATTTCAAAGAAAGTGTTTTTTTGTACAGTGAATGAAGGGATGGGGTGGTAGGCAAACAGAACTGCATAAAAATAGAAATATTTTTAACAGATTCAGTCAAATTAAAAAAGCACAACAGAGTCAGTAGTGCAGAACAGTGACTAATTTTGGTAGAGATACTTTCAAAAGACAAAAACACAAGAGAAATATTAAGATAATAAGATATATTTTAAAAAATTGTCTAATAAAAGACAAGACATTTAGATACACAGCTGATATTTTAATGAAGAACTAGATGATAATAATAAGATAGTTAGATTTTTCATAGTTAACAGGGGATCTTCATATTTTTTTAGAGGGCTGAGTAGTGAATATTTAAGGTGCTGTGAGCCCAGGGGTAAAATTACTTATACTTATTAAGTACTGGTATCAGAAACATGGTAATGTAAGAGTAGGATGGTATTGAATGTTTACTTTTATCACAGTTTCACAAGCCTAGCTTAGAAATAAATAATTATTTATTTCGGCTGGTTGGTTGGTTCCCCCCCCCCCCCCCCGGCTTTAACCCCCTTTTTAATGCACTCCAAACTGTTCCTCGTCACCATGTCAGATCAACTTAGTATTTTATATTTTATCCAGGGGCTTGGGGAGAGGGGATGGAGAGGGCTGTTTGCCTCAGGAGGCAATTTTTACAGAGGGCTGCATGTTCAGTCCACTTCATACACTTGAAATAGTTCATTGGGAGTGCAATCTGGCAACTTGTTAGAATCTATTGCACAGTAAATGCAATAGCAAGGCAACCCCTATTCCCTGTAAAAAAAAATCGGGGTCTTAAACGATTTTATCATTGTTCAACTATCAATATAGAGTGTAGTACGTTCAGATATGCATTGCATTAGTGAGTTGGCTACCAATTTTATGCATTAAACAGCATTTTTTTTTTATTAAGTATTTTATTTTTCAGCATTAAATAAAATTTACTAACCGGTTATCGGTTTCAAAACCAAAAACCAGAAATCCGGCTTTCCTTCAATATCCTTATATTTATATAATTGCAAATTTAAAAAATGTATAAACTTAAAATCCATTTTTTTCAAATAATGATGTACAGAAGTGCCCCACAAAGGATGTATGTGGTGGACACTGTGACTGGGGTCATAAAGAACTAATAGCTTGGCCCAAAAGAATATGAAGAAGCGCTCACTAATCAATGTCTAATATATTAAATACTGAACGCATGCCTTTAGTTCTTAAAGACAACAATTTAGTTTACCACTTTGCGTACTAAAATATTTCCAGGCCATGACCAATACAGATTGGTGCACATCAGAAAATATTTTTAAAGCACTTTGAATGCAGTTAATTTCTATAAGTTTGTTTAAGATATCAAATATAGTAAATAAAAGCTCTCCAACATAGGCTATTGTTTTTCCCATGTAATTTATACAATTCTTACTTTATTTTGTCAGCGTTAAATTTCTAAACTTTTTACTCTATTTCCGCAAAATTGTGTAAAATGATAAAAATAGTGTTTGATCTAGAGTTTATTTTTAAGATGCCCTCACGTTTTATCTGTTATTATTTCTATATTTTGCACTTCATTTTCAAAGCAAAGTCTATACAATATACCGAACAATTTTAATAAGGCAAATAACATATTTTAGAAAACTTTATAATACCGGTACAGGTAAATGAAAACTTTTTTCTCACCCTTATTAATGAGCATAAAGCTTAAAAATTAAAATTTTGACATAATTTTAATCCAATTTAAGAAACAAACAATCATTAACATAATATGGTAGACCAGGAGATGGAGCAAATATATTGGACCCAACAGCCCTGTAAGTGTTGGCAGCAAGCTGGAAACACTGGGCTGGTCACCATTAGAAGAACAGCGATGATTATCCAGGCACTCCATGATGTTCAAGATAAAAAATTGGCTGGTCCACTCCAGCAATAAACAACTCGTCCCTCTCCCCCCTAGACAGTGACGAGGCCATGATAGACAGTCATAATATCAAGAACACAGTACAGGAACTGCTCATTCCTGCCAAAGACAATCAGGGACTGGAACAAGCTTCCAAAGGAACAGTTGAGATGACAACACTTGACACATTTGCATCTATTGCCTCCTGCCTTCCAACCCCCAGTTCCTATACTATAGCTGAGTATCCCTTGCAGTCGCAGCCAGTGAAGTATCCTTTTCAAAACCATGCACAGAAACATTGCGAACCCCATCTACAAACATAGGAGCCAGAATGATCAATACATTGATCGTGGGCCCTCATAATATAGAAGAAGAAGAAAGAAGCGGGTTAGACTGTGATAAAACTTAAATTATATTAAATAAATTGGGTGTGTAGGCCCACACAAATATTTGAGGTCCTCATTTTAAGGTGCGGTTCTGTTTTAAATGGTGACGTAGCTTGTAATTTGCTAAGTACCCTACTGACATATAAACTACATGTATATATGTATTTGTAAATATATTAGTATGTAGTAAAATACATATATATGTATATTCACACATCACGTTTAAGATATTTAAACATATTTAAGATATTAAAACATAAAAATGAAATTATTAAGGTAGCTTGGGATGCTGGACGTTGTGTGCTAGCTTACTAGCTTCCATGATGAATTAGTACTTACTCATGGTGCATTAGTACATTTAATAATTTTTTTCATTTTGTGCCCAGCAATGACCGACATAACATCAGATTCACCGTAAAATGAACTGACATACATTGAGAACCTTCTGTATAGGGTAGTTTTTAGGACATAAAAATTGTACTGAATATTTTGTAAATATTACAGTAAATGATTAGGTATAATTGGTAATGATAATGTTGTAACAATTTTAAAAAAAAACAACCCAGAGAAGATGGGCTTTGAACCAAAACAACACACAACCACTTCCACTGTTTTAAAAGTGTTTTAAATATCATCATTGGGATCTAAAATAGCATTAGATAAATTTATATAATTTATACCTTTATTCTTTTATGGCACACACTTTGTGCTCATAATATCTGTGATCTATCTTTCTGTCCCAGAGACAGGGTAAGATCTTGAGTAAAATTTTGATATATGTACTCAGCTGGTTAGTACTTGTACAGGCCCAAAACTATTTTACTATACCAAGTTCATCAACAAATATTTTTGTTTATTATTTTGTGCCTACAAATGTAAATTATTCAACATTTATTCAAGACTACTTGATGATAAAACACTTCCAAGAAATCTTTAATTTAATGTAATAATGAAAAGATAATAATTTTTGGGATTTTACTAAGTTATTTTTTTTTGTGTTGACATTTCTTTTTACCTTTTTTCTAGATACTGAGCATTAACTACAGAGGAGGAAAAAATAAAATTTAAATATTATTTATAATATAATTGAGTTAATAATCTAGGTCCAGTGTGGGGGTAAGTTATAAAGTGTATTTGGAATTGAGGGAAGGGTGAAAAATACAAGGCTATCAAAATATGTTGGCTACTGAGAAATAGGGTCTGATGGCTGAATTATTTTTAGTTTTATTTACAAGTGGAAAAAAAGTGTAAGGGGTGAGGGCAATCAAAAGGGATCTGATAGGGTGGGAGAAGGTAATGAAGTGAAGGTGGGCTGAGGGGAATAGGGTGTATCAGATGTGGGTGGACTGGAATGAAACAATAACAAATTATTTTTCAAGTCATCTGTAAATTTTTTTAATTGAGCAAATAAATTTATTTTTTTTAAATTAAAAAATTTAAAAAAAAAAATATATGAGTATCCTGACCTTCTAATGCATCTGCACTGACCACATGAGTAGCCACTGGCTTGGGATCAACATACTGAAGGCCATAAGGCCCAGAGATGGCAAATCCCATCTCACTAGTATTCCAGTGGTGTGTGCCACCTTTTTTGTCTGTTGTGGAAATATCAACATGTTTTTCTTCTAAAATGATTTTATGTTCTCTCTTTCTTTTACTTTTACTGGCTTTACTGTGAATAAATAGAAAAAAGTTTTAATTCCTCAAGCATGCAAGAATAAATTCATTGAAAAGAAAAATAACAAGAATACAGAATTAAAATAATATGACACTGAAAATCATGGATATCATTGAAAGCACGGTATCAACAATTGATTTAGAAGGTGTGTATGAGCATTAAGGTGTTTTCCATATTATTTTACTACATTGTTACTCAAATTATAATTATTTTTAGTTCTAAATGTTGGCTAATTAAAAAAAAACATACGAATCATCATGTTTTCTCCTTCCTTTTGTGCCTTGGGAAGTCTTAGAAAGACTATCAGTGAATGTTCTTGATTGATTTGTTGATCTTGACTCAGAATCTGACAAGAATGAATCCGAATAATCTTGATCAGTATCAATGTTGCGCCTTCCTTTTCTTCCTTTACTGTTCTGTTCACTGAAATTTGAAACCAGGGAAGAGGGGGGAGTAAGAATTACATCCATAATAAAGGAAAGAAAATAAGTGACAAAATTTAATTTTTTTAAAACTTATTTTAAAAACAAAGAGGGTTTTCTTTTCAAGAATATATTATAAACTGTAAAATAATTTTTAAAAGCCTCTAATAACAAATGTATATATTTTTGATGATCCTAATTTTGAAAACACTACCTGATACTGCCATTAGACAGATACTGGATTGATTTCTTGGCACTACCTCCAATGTCTGTGACAATTTCAGACTCTGACTGCTTTCGCTGTGTTACCTTTTTCCTGTCATCTTTACCCTCCGTTTTTATTTCTGATTCCTCTGAGATATCCACATCATTAAAAGGCATGGCAACTGAATTTACATCAAGCAGCTCATCCACCATGTGGATACCAAAATTTTCAAACAAACTGGTCTTAGAATTTGACTTCTTTGGAGAAGCTTTAGAAGTTTTTGTTGGTGCTTTGTTATCTCCTTTGGTGAAAGAAGCTTTGAAATTGGAAGCAGCAGGTTTACTAGAAACTTGTTTTCTTTCCTTTCTAGTTGGTGACCTTCTGCCTCGTGGTGTGGGACTTGGTGATGCTGGTGCAAGGCTAGATAAATCCTTGAGGTTTACTTTAAGAAAAAGACAGACAAAACCTTAGAATGATGCCATTGTTTTAGTTTAAGGGAGAGCTATAAAGTGCTGTCCACGTGATATCTAAAAAAAAATATAAATCACTCAACAAACTTTACTAAAGTCCCATGCTTATCCAGATCAATAAAAGGTCATTGTCACATTATCACTTTTCAAAATGACAAAATGAAAAAATATCCCCCAAACTAAAAATTAATTTTTCTTTCCATAAAAATTATGTACAACAGTTCATACACCTTTGTTCTTTAATTACATGTAGTTTAACTTTTATAGGCAGACCTTTAAGTATCTCGCGTTCTCTCTAAATTACATTAACTAGTGACAGTGATTAATTAACTAAACCAGGAAAACATTCAAACCAAAATTCCACATACCGGTATTCTTGTTAATATTAAGACACTAAACTTATGTTCTTTAATGTGACTCTTCTGCTACCTCACTTACAAAAATTCTCATTTGATGCATAATATAAATTAATGTGACCAAGCAAAAGAATAAAATGAACCATGAGATTCATAAAATACTAAATTTTAAAAATAAGTAACCAAGCAAACTTTCTACTGGGCATAGCCGGTCCTTCAGCTGGTAAAAAATTATGACAATTATTGTAAATAATTTTTCACTGCTGAATCCTGCACACTTAAAACTAAGGAGATATGAGATTTTCAAAATCTTATGGTATGTCCAGCATACAACAGTTGTATATGGAAATAGATATTTTGACACTATTGAGGCACTGTCTAGCACACTCTAACTCTTTTTTTGGTTTGGGGGCTTTACTGTGGACATAAAATGGTATAGACAGAGTTAATTCCTTTTTCTATATATTTTCAAACATTGTTTTTGTATTGTTTGATCATTTATGTTTTGTAGCACGCTTATGCAATAAAACATTCCTCTTTTATTTTTAAGGCTTCTATAAAAATGTGCGTTATGCAATTCACCTTAGCAATTGTTCAGTTTTACTTTAAATTACAATTGCATTTATTAATTCATACACATATAGTAATTTGAGTTCATCTTCATTTGATTAATGTTTAAATCTTTAAAAAAATTAAAAAGGCAAAAACAAGAAATTTAAATCTAAAATAGTGCATTGTTCCGAGTATAGGCCAAAGTTTTTCCCCCAATGTAAATCTTTTAAACTAGGGTTGTAGCCTACATTCAGGATGTTGCAACAAAAATTATTTACATTTTGTTAAATAGTTAAAATTTTAAGGGTGTTGATTATAGTCAGAAGAGGCCTATATTTAGAACAATACAGTAATAACAAAAATTATTACTGTGTATAGGATCATCCAAACTGGTTGATTTATTTCGAGCTCTGCTGTCCTCTAGTATCTCACTGTCTATAGAATCTATCAGTTCAGAATCTTGTGACTGAGAACGAGACTGTTTGCCCAAAGGTGATGGAGATCTTTTGAAGGGTGGTGACCTAGATCTCTCAACAGGAGATGAACTTTTCCTTGCTACTTGAGTTTCTGTTTTTTTAATCCATTTTTGATGCTTCTTAGCAACCAGCTTTTTGCGATAAAAATAAATTCTTTTATAAAATGTGATTCATTTTTGCAATAGCTTTAAAAATTATAAAAATAATACTTAAAAAAAATAACTTCAGATCTAAAAAAACACCTTTTATTTAAACAAATTAAAATCAATCAATAACATTTAAGATATGATTAAGATTTATTATAGTACCACACATATTAGAAGGTAGGCCTACTACTTACATTTTTTGGCTGTTTTTTGGAAGAGTCTGATACTGATAAATTGTGTATAAACTCTGCCAAACTTTCCTCTTCTGACGTTAAGTAAACACTACCAAGGGTTCTCACAATTTCATTTTTCTTATTTCCTTCATAAAAAAAAAAGAAAGTAATATAAAATGGGCATTTGACATCAGTCAATATATTATCATTAAAAATGTATATACATTCATCAACAAATTACATTTACCTCTCTGTTTTTCTTCCATTGATGAGCTCTTTTGAGAAAACTGTGGACTGGCAGATCTCAAACTAGTTTTACTTATTCCAGATTTATTGTTCTTTACAAACTTGGACCTATCCTTCCCAAAATTTCTGTCTGAGGAGCCAGGCCTCATATCTATCTCAGATCCTGAGCTGACATCCATTTCGCTGTCTACTGATAATTGTTTGAGAAAACTCTTGCCTTTTGTTTTGTTCATCACATTTTTTGCCTTTACAAGAGTTTTAGTGTTGGATCCCTGTAACTTTTCAGCTGATGAAAAAATATATTAAAAAATCTAATTAAATAATTACATAAACCCAATTATTATATAATTTTAAAAGAAATCAAATGAAAACAGTTTTTTTTTTCAAAATAAAACCAAAGTAAATCACTCCCTTGTTTGAACTTTGCAAACATAATAACAAAAGCCCTTAACTAATTTCACTAAATGCAGAATAACTTAAAAATAATTCTAACCAGCAATCGGTGTATTTTGAGTTTCACTATCTAGCTTCTTTTTTTTGAGAAACTTATTAGTTTTTGGAGTAATGGGAGTCATTTTAGGGCTGGAGGAACGACGGCCTCGGGGAGTGAGAGAGCTCCTGACATCAGCACCACTGGATATAGAGATGTCACCATACTCCTCAAAGTTAACAACTTTTGGTTGCTGTGTCTTTTGAGCTAAATTATTCAAGTAGGACTGAAAAGAAAATAAGACATGTCTATTTTAATCAGTATAAAATAATTTACTGACAGACACAATCATATTCAGTTTATAAGAGTGTAGTGAGTTGGAATTGCTGAGAGGCCTTAATGAGTAGAAGGAATTGTACTTCTAAAAATTTAAGTGTAAATTTTCAAATTTCCTTTTGTTTAAATGTTTTCATTCATTTATTATTAGGCAGTAGATAAAAAGTTAAAACAAATTAAGTTTAATGAATAGGCCTATTTCTAAATCATCAAACAGCAGGTGGCACTCAATGGGGTTATGTTCAGGGTTGCCAACCATCCAAAAATTTATAGACAGTCCGTAAAATGCGCTTGATAAATAATTAGAAGTGTATGCAATGCATGATATTTATATATACAATCTAATTTTCAAGCGATCCAAAAAATAAATCTTAAATTGTATAATGATATTTAACAACAACTTAGTGCAAGAAGACACACTCACTGCAAGTTCATCCTCATCCTTTGATTTTACTGGAACTCTTTCACCCCGAAGTTGGCTGTTCACTTTTTGAAGCAATGACAGGGCATTGCTTCGTCCAGCTGGCATTTTAAGTTTGTGATATATTCTACTTTCCTAATTTATATATGGAAGTTGGAATTCAAAGCTAAATTTAAAAAAATGCAAAAACATAATGTAAATAATAGAACAGAGTTCTCATTGAATTTAAATGATTTTTATTTTATTATAATGTTTTTATAAAAAAATGACAGGGAGCACCTTAAATAAGGATATAAAAATTTGCTGTCTCAATAAAATTATCAGTTGCATATTGAATAAAAAACTGTATCTCTATTAACCCTAAAGGCTACAACAGTGCACCTGTTATTGCTGATATTAACTCAGTTGTTAACTGATATTGTGAAAGATGGGGTAAGTACTGACAAAATTTTGGAAGAAAGCCTCTAAAGTGAAAGGTGGGTTGAGGAAATAAGATAAAAATTTGGAAATAGTCTAAATACAGTAGTGAAATTAAAGGGTCCCAAGGGGGGCTATTGGGCTGGGCAGCACTTTGGTGGAGAGGGAAAATTTTTGTGTTTTTATAATTTTATTTTTAATTGCAAAAATAGTCAAATTTCCTTTAGGAAAAATGAATTACACATTTTTAAATCTATATCTGTATAATAATGCCCAAAATTTTGTCCAAAAGTACATTACTGCCTAGATATGATTTTGCAACTGCAGTTTTGGTTTACTTTTATCAAATTAAATGATAAAATTAGTAAAATGAGTCAATGAATGTGAGTGTTTGTGCACTGTTCAGGTGTAAGAGAGATTTTTGGGGGTAAGAGATTTGGAGAATTCTGACATCATAGTCACATTGTGGTTAAGGGGAGCATAATAAAATATCTAAAGGAGCATAACAAAATTCTGCAATGATTTATCAGGTGGCCAAATAATAAGGGGTAAAAGTAAAAGTAGTAATAAAAACAACCCCTAAAAACTAAGTTTTTTTTTATAAATCCTTTATATGCATTTTTTTTTGTATTTATGTAATTGAATATGATTTATCTCACATTCAATGGTAAACTTCTAGTGAAAAAACATTTCAGATTTCCTTGAATTACCCCTTCAAAAATACATATTATTTTTACTGCATACCCAAATAGGTCACACAAACAAAGCTCATAGCAAGAGCTAAACAAGTAATCTCCACACCAAGACATGTATTTAACAAAGCATTAACATTCTCCACATCTTGAAAAACAGGATAAACTTCTTGAGGGGGGGGGGGTGTAAAAATGCTAAAGAATGTGTTGCTATGTGCCAAGGTTTCAGTTCAATAGGATGACAGGAAGTGGGTCATATAGCATTCCAAAGATTTTTATGTATTTAACAAAGCATTAACATTCTCCACATCTTGAAAAACAGGATGAACTTCTTGAGGGGGGGGGGGTGTAAAAATGCTAAAGAATGTGTTGCTATGTGCCAAGGTTTCAGTTCAATAGGATGACAGGAAGTGGGTCATATAGCATTCCAAAGATTTTGCCACAAACTCACAAACAAAAGTGAAGTTAATATAAAGGACATAAAAATAGTTAAATAGTTCACTGTGGAATAATGGAATTTAAACTTTAAAATGTTATAATAATTATTTCAGTTATGGTAAAATCAAATTTCAGAATCTTAATTTCAATACAAATGAAATAGGTTAGGGTATTTTAATTTTATGAACTGTTTTTTTTAAAGAATAAAACATTTTTCATTTTGTGTGGGCCTTATTGTTCAATTACTGTATCAAAACAAAATTTAACTAGAACCAAAAAATGAGGTGTTCTTCTTTTTAAAAAAATCATTAACATCTGTATAACGGCAATCCATCAATAACCCATTTAAATTTCACTATAAGACTATAAACACCAAATAATGCTGAATAGTATCTGAAAATGATTTTAATATATATATATATAAGAATGAGCTATACTGACGTAACTCCAAAGAACAGAAAAGATATAAGTACGTTCAGATTCCTAAAAACAATCATAGTTATTTTCTATAATTTTACGGAAATCGAATAAATTTAAATGCACAAAAAATATTTGAAATCCGCTTTTATTTTATTAAAAGTTAAAGTTATATTATTATAAATTACAAATACATTTAAAGTATCAACTAAGGAACTATTTTAAGCATTTTATATGTGTTTGAAAGTTATGAAAAAAAAAATAATTAAAAAATCATGATCAAAGAATTACACCGTAATCACATTTATCGAGAAAACCCAAGCATCAGTCATTTTTAGTGCATCTTTTAGTGCGTTGTTAATATTGCGTAATAAAAATTTAAATTAATTTGTTCTTAATAATCACGCAAATGACATCATAGCGCGAATAGACTATTTCATCAAACCTCTTAGGTTTCTTTAAATTTAATAACCGCGCGTGACAAAATTGATAATGTATTTTCTCTTCTTAAAAGTAAAATTAATAAATACAATTGATTGCTTTTTAAATTTTTAATAAAACACACACACAATGTTGCTTTGTATATTTAAAAAGTTTTGCATTGTTTTGTTCCAAAAAATATGCTTTTATTAAATTTATAATGTATTAATATTAAAAAACTAACCTTTAAATATAATTCTAATAAGAAAATGCAGTTTAATTAAATCAGTGCAGCGCAACTCCATAGCTAAATAGTAAATAGCATTCACTAATCCACTTATACCTCATACAAATAAGATCGAACCATATGAAGTGCATGGAAGGGACTAGAATCCGCAGGAAGATTTTCTAAATTTTTAAAAATCTGGATGGGGAAGGGATTGGTCACTTTTCCCCAGGCAGCACAAGATACCTCTCAAAATAAAAAAATGAATTTGATAAATAATTAACTTTCTTGGGTACATTCATATCGGAGGTAGGAAATAGGATGTTTACATAAAGTACATTATTACATGGATGACAATATATTTAAATCCTGTCGTATTACAATTGTCAAAAAAGAGATGTTGCATTCTCTTTTTACTTTTTACAAATATGTGTATGTTTATTTTGCTCAAGACAGCACAAGATAAGTCTCAAAATAAAGGAATGAATTTGATAAATAATTAATTTTCTTCGGTAAATACATGTCGGAGGTAGGAAATAAGATGTGTAAATTCTTAAATGGATGACAACAGAGTTAACTCCTATGGTATTACATTTGGAAAAAAAAGAGATGTCACATTTACTAATTTAGGCTATGCACATAGTACATTTTATCTTTTTTCGGTTTTCTATTTCTATGTCTATGATGACTGTCTATCATACTATTATTCTGATCTTTCTTTTTTAGAGTTAGAGCATGCAACAATAATTATATTGATTTTTTTGTTGTACTGAATGAAGGAAGCATTTCCCAAAACGTTTGAATTTTGTCTAATCATAATTAAAGCTTAAGATATATTGTTTTATTTACACAAATTGTTTGTTTCTCAGTTATTTAGATAGTTGGTTGTTAACCGGAAGTTTATTATTAATTTTGATTTAAACGATAGAGTAGTCTTTTCTTTAAAATTCCGTAATTACGACGACCACCTCCGAACAAGCAATCGTACACTTACGCGGGTCATTCCGAAGCCTAGCGCGTGGTGAAATACCATTGGTCTGTGGAAAAAAATACCGACCAATCGTAACTAGACAGCTGTATAGGTCACGTGGAAACACCGGCTTTATTTATCGTGCATATTCCTCAGCAAGCATAGTACACGAAAAAGAAAGTTGAGATAGTCGATTTGTTAAACCTGGGTTTCTGTTATATGCAACTAAAATGAAGGCCTTTCTGCTTTTAGTTTTAGTAAGTGTCACATTTGCAGACCCTACAGTTTTCTTCAAGGAAGAATTTGCTGATGGTGGTAAGTAAATGGTGCTAATTAAATACTAATAATTTGTTAAACTAACTATATTAGTAATTAGACCTAATAATTAATATTTGTATCATTCTGAGTCAAGAAGTGAGAGGCCTATATTGAGTGGCTTCATTTTATAAAGTATGACTAAGTCACTACGGATTTCGAACGGTATTTGCAAAGATAATATTATTTAATTTGATGATTTAAATGTTGGCTAAATCCCAGATTTGATGAAGCCAATGTTTTTCTGTAACGCTGGTTCTGATAGTCTTTTGTAAGGTAACTCTTAAACTTAAACTAGTCTCACTAAATCTTGCCGACTGCAAATTCTGGCCCGTTGGAAGTATTGGTAACTTAGCCTAACAGTTTACTACAGTGTCACATTCAATGTGCCTGCTCTAGCTTTTGTCACTTTTGATTTGATAGTGTGACTATGTTAGTACTAAGGCAAAGGTTCCAAAGTTAACTATCACCAATACATATGGTCAGGACATGGCCCATATACTCCCACCAAAGATCATTGGTTTGAGGTTAATGAAAAATGACTCACTAGTAGGAACTATGATTTACAGAGGCCATGACCAGTCTATTATTCTCTCATGTTCTTTTATTTTTTTTATTTGCAGCAAAATGGACAGAAAGATGGGTGGAGTCTAAACACAAATCAGATATTGGAAAATTTGAGTTGTCTGCTGGGAAATTTTATGGAGATGAAGAAAGGGACAAGGGTGAGTAAAAGAATTTGTTTAAAAAGAATTGTATAATTTTTAACTGGTTTATTGTTTTTAGGGTTGCCTATTATCTCTGTTATGACATACACATTCTAATAACTTTAAATATATTTTATTCTTTAACCAGATTTGAATTATTAAAATTAATTAAAAATGTATTTGCAGGTTTGAAGACAACTCAGGATGCTAGATTTTATGGGTTATCTGCTAAATTTGACAAGTTCAGCAATGAGGGAAAGACTCTTGTTGTTCAGTTTTCGGTGAAGCATGAACAGAATATCGATTGTGGAGGAGGCTATGTGAAACTGTTCTCAAGTGATCTAGATCAGACTGACATGCATGGAGATTCTCCTTACAATATTATGTTTGGTAAGTTTTCTCTCTTTATAATCTTGTTTATCCTAGCATGTCACTGCAACACAATTTTTTCATAAAGATTTAGTAGCAATTAATGTTTGTTAATTTTTTCTTGGACTTTGTTTTCTAACAGGACCAGATATTTGTGGACCCGGAACCAAAAAAGTTCATGTTATTTTCAACTATAACGGAAAGAACCTGTTAGTCAAAAAGGACATCAGATGCAAGGTATTTAAGATTGTAATTTAGGCAAGATTTGATTGTAATTGAGGCCTCTTGATGTGAAGCATGTCTTTTAAACTTGTTAAAAAAAAATCTTTGTCTTTGAATTAATGAAATATTTCTTTCAATAGGATGATGTCTACACACATGTGTACACATTGATTGTTAAGCCGGATAACACTTATGAGGTCAAAATTGACAATGAGAAGGTTGAGAGTGGAGATTTGGAGTCTGACTGGGATTTCTTGCCTGCAAAGAAGATTCCTGTAAGTCTTTATTTTTACTTGTGTGAAACTTTTTGGGAATGACACTATGTGCATTAAGTTAAATTTGTGTAATATTTTTTTTTTTTTTTTTTTTTTTTTTAAACTGAATTTTACCCCCTTGTAACTCACCTGTTATATTTTACTTTTATTCTTAGGATCCCAATGCCAAAAAGCCAGACGACTGGGATGAGCGTGAGAAAATTGATGATCTGAGTGACACCAAACCAGAAGACTGGGACAAGCCTGAACACATCCCAGAACCTACAGCCAAGAAGCCTGATGACTGGGATGACGAGATGGATGGGGAATGGGAACCACCTATGATTGATAACCCAGAATTTAAGGTTTCATTTCTTTCTAGTCCCAAATTTGTCAAGTTTTAAAGTCTTCCCATTCTTGACTGTAAAAATTATGCTTTTATTTAGGGTACGTATGTCAGTCTAGTTATAACTTCACTTAAACTTTGACAGCCCTAGTTTTAAGTCATTACCTTTTATTGTTTAATTGTTTTGTCACCTCTTCATTCATTCATTCCTCTTCTGCCCTCTCTAGGGAGAGTGGAAACCTAAGCAAATTGACAACCCAGACTACAAGGGTAAGTGGGTTCATCCTGAGATTGACAATCCTGAATACAAACCTGATGATAAGCTGTACAGATATGAAGATTTTGGTGCTATTGGCTTGGACTTGTGGCAGGTCAGTGATCAGTTATCTAGAGAGAATGTTCGTAACAACTATTTCAGAACTCATCCATTTACTTATTCAAAAGGGCGATTTCTAATCTCTCTGTCCTTTTAGCATTATGTTTTTTTGTTTTTTTTTAAATTAAATTTCCAGTCTTGCATGTAGTGATGTATCTTCTACTTCCATCAAAGCGTTTGATATATCTATTGGTTGTGGGTCTTGATATTCTCTCGGATAGTATCCTGTTATTGTACCTCATGTGTAAATATGTATGTTCCTTATAACTTAAGTTAAACTGCATAGTGAGTCTCTTTGTCTTAGGCCTTGTCAAATCTGAAATTCCCTTGAATATTCTCCCTGAACCTTGGGATTTTGCTGCTTTTGGAGTTCTTTAATGTTAATGTATCCGTCTTGTCAGTTTGTTGGTATGTCAAACTTCTACAGATTCTGATGCTGTCCTTAGGGCATTTTATAGTCCACATAGAGTTGATACTGAGGTATTATATTCTTAACTTTTCTCTAATAGGTTATATGATGGTGAAAATCTGATCAGCTGTCCCCATTTCAGACTCAGTTAGCATGATACCTAATGTATTTTTAACTTTATTCCACCTAATGTATTTTTAACTTTTACCTTATTTCAGGTGAAGTCTGGAACCATCTTTGACAACTTCCTAATTACAGATGACGTAGATTATGCTGAACAGTTTGCAAGGGATACATGGGGCAAGTCTAAGGATCTTGAGAAATCAATGAAAGATGCTCAGGATGACGAGGAAAGAAAACAGAGAGAGGAGGAAGAAAAGAAGAGGAAAGATGAGGAGGATTCTACTAAAAAAGATGATGATGATGATGAAGAGCCAGAGGATGAAGGTGAAGATGAGGCAGAGGAAGAATCTGTACCAAAAGATGAATTATAGGCAGCACTGACAAATAGGTTGTTTTCATTATCATTATGCATTAGGGTCTCTCATGTTAGCTTCATTACCTTCACATGTTTGAGTATTAAGTGTCATTTTATTTCATAAGTCTTAGAATGTGATGATTTTGGCAAATTTTGATCCAAACATTAGGTTGAATGGGACTTTTTCTTTAGGACCATGACTGGTTTAAGCCAATTTTCAAAAATTATGTTTCAACAGAGCCCACATTTGTCATAATATATTTGCTCTGAGACACAGCTAAATCACCAGTTAACTTGCTATGTTGCAATTTTTCATGTCCTGTGACTACAATCTTGCATTGTACTTGTGGTCCAATATCTGCTGTATTCCATTGTAGACACATTGGGATGTTTGTCTACTTTTTACTTTATTTTATGTGTGATTGGTGTGACAATTCTACTTTATTTTAAGTGTACTTGGTGTGAAAGCAAGAATGCCAAAAAGGTATGTAAGCTTTGTGTGGGTGATTTTTAAATATATATATTGCAAAACTTCTTTATTAAGGAGTTATTTCCCCCCAAGAGTTGAGTTTTGTTGTCAAGTGAAATAAATGATTGTAAGTGTGATGTCAAAGATGGTGATTACCAGATATCATTATTTGGTATTAAATTAATTTCTTCTTAATTGTTGACTTTGTTCTGTTGATTTACCTGTTTATGATGAGTTCAAGCTTCATTTAGCACATTTCCAGAAAATGGATCAATAAAACTCATGCATTTGTAAATATTCTTTTGCAATGATTTGAGTTCAAAGGTGTGTTGGCTTGTGTAGTAGATATTACCTTCTAATAACTTCTAATAATTATAATCCAAGATTCTCAAACTTGGGCAAGTAAAGACATAAGTACCTAGCTTTCACTATAAATAATGGCAAATTCTTTATAAAAAAAAGTCAACAAAATTTCTGGTAGATTAACATAATTCTACAGTGCAATAATTGGAAGCCTTGGGATTACGTCTGGTGTGGTAACAAACACCATTTACTCTTAAAGCTAGCAAGGTCACACAAACTAAAGATCCTTCACTTGAACTAATTGAAGAAAATAGTTTAACAATATTTTTGGATTTCAGCCACTTCATCAGCAGGGGTGAATTCTTACTCCAGTTCTGGGATAAAAAGATGTACAATTTATTTTATGGCTACAGAAATACTAATGATATTTCTTGTGTTTAAATTATTGTAACATATCTTGGTTAAAAGATAGGTATTGCCCTGAAAAAGCTTTTTGATTTATTTGTATCAAAGAATATTTTTTTGCATAAACACACCCAAGTTGTAGCTAATGTAATTCTAAGAGTTCTAATTAAAATATTAAAACAATTCAAAGTTTTTAAAATCACATTTTATTAACATTTTCAACTAAGGGTTTAATAATTACTGCTCTCAGCATGTTTGAAAAATAATAAAAATATACAATGAAAACACCTGTCTTAAAATACCATATTTTCCAGCATCACCCCCTAGTTTTCCTTTAGGGTTTTGGGCTGTATACCAGCTTATAAGACACCCCCACCTCATTTGAAAAGATTTTTATGGGTTTAAAAGTCCACTTATTATAATACACCAGCATACCGGAAAATAAGGTAATAAAAGCTATTGAAAAAGAACCATAATACTGTATTACAATTATGTATATAGTATAGTTTTTTGTTTGTATTGGGAGGGGAATCTGGAAATTAAAGTTAATTCTTTAAATTAAGAATCAAGGTGAAGATTTTAAAAGTAATTTTTAGTAATATTTTATTGAAAGTTTTAGGGATTGAAAGCTCAGTAAATGGGCAACAGGTGAAATTGAGTTGTTCTGTCAACAACAGTTCAGTCAAGGAGTGAGTTGCCACTGACCTGTGAATGGAAATATATACATCATTACCTGTACTACTATATACATTATATATTACTAACACCATTTGAACTATATATTATTATTACTACCATGGGACTATATATTATAACTATTATTATGAACCTTTTCTCATTGCCTTTACTTCCAGGGCCGAAGGCCATATTTTCCCTTGCTTAGTTTGCTGGCTTGAATTTGAAAATTATAATAATATATGCTACTTTGTTAGGTCTTTAAAAAATGAACCAGTTTTTCAACAAATTTTTTAAAAAAATTCCTAACAGCCAGACTTCACAAAGGTGCCTAACATATGGCTAGGTTCAAACCTCTTTGCACTGAGTAACTACAATAACCACTCTGTAACTCCCGCAGAAAAGGACAGAGAGAACCTTCAAAAGCCAATTCCTTAACTGTCTCGGCTACATAATAAGTGGGAAACTTTTAATGTTAAATTTTAATTAAATTATATAGAAACCACTTACTGGTTCATCAGTTAGAGCAGATGAGACACCAAAGGGATTTATTGCTGGCAATGGCTGTTGAGTAAATAATTTTTTCATTCTAATATAATATAATAATAGAATTTGAGAATTTCATGTTATTTACAAAGGTTTATGTGTAACTTGGAGGGGTCTAAGTCTAAATGTACAGAAACTCATCCATCAGTAAAGTATTATTAAAATGAACGATACTCACAGTTCCATTGGTAGGTTGCAGAGAGGCACTAAAAGCATCAAAAACAGGACTTGGCTAGTGAAATAATATAAAATTATTCATTAAAATTAGTATTATAATATAAATTATAAAAATATATGAGAAAAAGAGTTACTCTTAAGTTAAAGGATAACACATTAAAAAAATCTCTTTTTAAAAAATTCTTTGTGAATCAAACTAATCAAATGGCCCAAAAGCTGTAGGTTGCAACTCCTCTTGCGTTGCCTGACATTATGCCAGGAGTCCATTGAGAACTTAAAAAATATTTGTTGTAGAAATGTAATTTTTCACCTTTCATTTTAAAATGTAAATATTTACATTGGTAAGGCTAGATTCTTATTGGTCACTACACTGTGACTGTGCTCTACAGCTGGCGAAGCAGATACACTGTTGGATCACACTCTTCAGTGAGTAAACATAACGCTCACTTTTGGATCACACTCTTCAGAGAGTAAACATAACGCTCACGGCCAAAGAAAACATACATGGATAAGTTCTAGTAGTTAGTATCATCAACAAAGACAACCATTTATAAAAAGCATTCAAAAAAAATTTGCAACACAATCCATACAGTAGGATTGGAAAAGAGCTTGTGAACTAAAAATAGCTGTTATGCCACAGCACTTATTGAAAATTTGATTACCCTGAGTTAGAGTTAAGCTTTTTGAAGAGTTTCTGCTGTTTAAGACTACGGTACTGAAATTTAACTTGTATTCTCACCATTATATATAACATTGTGAGCCTCTGCCAATAACCAAATAAGATCAAAGCACCCACAAATTCTTAAAGTACACTAATCTCTTTTTAATGAACCCTTCAACCTAATAGCACTAGGTGAGCATCAATAAATACACTTGGGTATTGTCAATTATATTCTGTTATTTTCATTGAGGTAGTGAACTTGTATTAATGTTCCAATTTAAAGATCAGGCCTACTCACCAAACCTACAATATCAGTAAATGTTAACAGATCAAAGTTCCTGGACAGCAGGCAAGTTAATACAGAACAATACAAGCAAACAACGGCTCATTAGGAGATTTCTGTTAAATTTCATAGTTAAAAATATGAATCCCTATTGCCTTTTTAGACCCGATGTCCCATGAAGCAGACATCTTTGCACCTTCTTCAATTTGGAGTAAATTTGAATGCATTGAAGTTTTGTGTCATTGCCTTAGATTTTTAAAGTTCATTGTAAATTTAAAATAACATATGAAGCAATGTAAGGAAAAGAGGAAATATTTCATGTTACAATTAGTGCAAAATTAGCCTGTTAATTTTTCCCCATTTATGTAAAACCAGTTAGTTCTAGGTATTAATATGAGATTACAGGGCATTGTAATAAGAGTAAAAATTCAAGTTCCTTATTTATTTACTTAAAGTGAAAGCATGCAGCAGGAACAATTGACAATTACATTATTCTTACATCTCAGGCTCAAAAACGTAAAAGACTATTGTTTCCAGTGTTAACCAGGGGAAATAATTGATTAAATACTTTAATGCAAATATCACACATATAAAACACTAAATAATTAAATGATATTGAATGTGCTACATATTAAAAGCAATAAAATGCTTTTCTCTACATATTTATGCATATATTAATAATATTAATATATACACAAATATGTAATAATATACATTTCATTTTTATATATTATGTTAATGCCATATTATAGTTCCTTTTGATTATTGAAGCTTTTTAAATATTTAAAAAGAATTAGTTTAATTTTAATTTACAAGTGACAAATTTGTGTTCTAAGATAAGAATTTGGTGCAGTAACATCTACCGGGCTAGCTAAATTTTAAGCTACTGAAAGTAATTCAGTGACAAAACTGAACATGTTAAAAATTTAAATTTATTTCAATTCCAATGTAAAGTTTTCATGTCTAAAATTATAAGAATTCAAGGGATGGATATGAAAAAAAGATTACACAACAAGCGAGGTTATGAGGTAAACAAGTGGGTGCGTAAATCTGATTGGGGGGAAAGAAAAGGTGTTCACAAGCAGAATGTGTTAAAATTGCCAAAGAGTAATAAAAATTATTTTTTAAATAACCATGATTCTTCCCATAACAAAACAACTCTTAACAAGCTTTGCTGAAATATTTAGAACTCAACATTTTGCATTATTTTTACTATTTTTATACTAAATGAAAGAACTGCTTACTTATTAATGCTCTCTTGTTTGTATTTTTTTTGGTCAGAAATGTTCACATCTGCAGCATCAAGAGACAATGAAAAGAAATAAAACATTGTTTGTCTTAGTAGCCTGGTGCTAAACGGTTCTATAGAAATGATGAAACTGTCTATACTTTTTTAAAAGAATTATTAGTAATAATTTAAATGGTAAAAAGCAGGTGAGTGCAGTTATTTCATGCTGGGGTTGTGTAGATACACATTAAAATCGATTGATGCTCAATGTATATATGTTAAATTTTGAATGCCAGTTAAATATTCCATACAGCACCTCTATTTTCATTCCTTATGTGGTCATCAATAAACTACTTACCACACTGCTGCCACCACTTTCTAAATTTGCTCCATGTTCTGATGCACCAAATGCATCCCAGTGGTCTGCTTTACTGGATGAGAAGCCGCTAAAGCTGTCATCAAACGGATCACTGCCAAATTTGGCTACAGCTTTGAACCCGGGTGTTAGATGAAAAGGTAAGTTAAAGGGATCCTTCTCATCTTTGGCAACAAATGATTCTGAAAATGGGTCACTCTCAAAGTGGATATCGGACTTGTTCAGGCTAGTAATATTGTCATGAAATGGATCAGATGCATTAAACATGGGGTCAGCCCCATGAGGCTCACCCTTACATACAAGAGTATTGTTATTTAATGGTGGTGTACATTTACCGGGATCAGCATGTGATATATTGCAAGTTTCTGTATTTAAATAAAAGTCAGGAGATTCCATTTTCTCTTCATCAGGGAAATTTTGAGATTCTATTGTGTTATCACAGACATGAGAAGACTCATAACCAGCTTTGTCTGCAATATTGAAATGATGACCTGCTGATATCAATATAGGCAGGTTTTCTCCAGAGTTTTTTTGATGGGTGGGAGATTGTTGTGACGATGATAATGATGATGACGGTCGAGGTGGTGGAGTAGGAGCAACAACCGGGGATGTTAAATGAGGCGGAAGGGGAGGAGGCGGTTCATCGGGGGAGGGTAGCATACATGAATAGTTGGTAGATGAAACAGACAAAATTAACTGTGGAAACGGATGTGGTGCACCTGTAAGCAGTGTGTCTTTACATTTGATATTTGATCGTCTGGGCACTGGCGGATTAACCTGAGTGGAGGATGAAGGGTTTGCCTGCAGAGGTTGAGGTGTGTAAGTATGTGGGTCAGCATAACTGTTAAAAAGTTGTCTCTCTGGAACAGGGGGAGGTGCATCAAGATTTAAGGGATCATTTGAAAGTATTGGACAGCCAGGGGGATCCATTTCTGGGGGATCAGGTAAAGTCTCTGAAGGAGACCCTTCGCTGGTTTCAAAAGAGCTAGGCGGGAAATCTGTTGCAAAAAAATTGGTTTGTTGAAAGGGATCAGGCGAGACAGGATCACTTGCCTGAGCACTAGCCACTACAGCTGGCTTAGGAGAGGATTTCATTTCATTTAATGATTTCCTTTCAGGTGCGTTGGCTTGGACAAACAAATCCTTCGGTGACAAGGCAGCCACCGGAGTTGTCTTCTTAATATCCACTAGGTCTCCGAACAGATCATCTCGTGGAGACTTTGATCGAGCGAGTGCTGAATCTGCAGCAGTGGTGCCACTTGCTTCTGCTCCACTCTCTTTTTTCATGGGTTTCAGAAGGTTGGGTTCCTCCTCAGCAAAAAGACTGGTCATCTGCGGGGCAGCAAACTGTGGAGCAGCAAACTGTGGTGCAAAGGGGTTGCGTATCCCTCCCACTCCTGGCTGTGACATAAAACCGTGCGACACTAAACCCGGCATGAGTCCTGATGTCATCATGTTTCCACCAGGGGGAGCTCCAAATTGAGGGGCCATGCCCCCGGATCCAAACATATTGGGTGCAGCCCCAAATCCAGGGGCTGGCTGGACACGCTGCTGTGCCCCAGTGTTAAATGGATCATTTCCAAATGGGTCTCTGTTCACTGGTAGACTGCCACCGCCCATCACATTCTGAGTAAAACAGTCAAATATTAAATTAAGTTGTAGGCTGAAGCAAATTTGTAAATGCATGATTTATAAGTCATTGCCAATATAACTTATCATCAATGACAGAATGAGCTTTGTCAGCACCCATATTTGTTTGGACATAAGGGTACACCGTTTAAAATCCTGGCCATAAGGGCCTTATGATAAGGCCCTCTTTATATTCCTATTAAATTAAAGCCTCCTTTATGTTCCTATTAAATTGAGGCCCCCTTTATATATTTAAAAAAAAAGCAGAAGACTGTGTTATGAGGTCAGCTTGAATTGACAGTCTATTGGGGGGGGGGGGGTATTTTTGTTGTACTTTTTTACACATGTACTATATGACATTGAGATATGCATAATGATACATGTGGTGGCCTGACATGAACATCATGTTGTGTAGTAATGTGCCTACATGTACAGCAGTGACACATGTCCAGTGTGTCTTGAAAAAGTCTGCCCCAATTTTGTGGCTGAGCAGTTCATCAGACTTGCCAACAGTTTATGTATAGTCCACCAAAACACAACAATAAGGAAGATCCTAATTCAGACCTGTTTACTCTTACGATTTTGGCATACACTGTACGATTTTTAGGTGTATGCATTATATATATTGTATGTTTATTTTTTTACTATTAAGATAATGTATTGAACGATTTTGAGATGATATTGTACGATTTTTAAGAGTCTGGGGGTAAACAGGTCTGCTAATTAAGCTCCACAGAGTATAACATCACAATAAAAGTATCAGTGGAATCAATTGTCTTTTTTTTGTTGTTGTTGCTCATGCAAAACATCTACATTAAATGTATGAAAATTGCTAAATTTAAAAAAAATAGTATGGTTTTTCAAATGATGTTTTCTCATTCACATCAGTAATAGGGGCCCTGATTAAGCTTTAGGGGCCCTGATTAAGCTTGCTTCTTTTAAATAAACCAGTTCTAATTCACATCAGTAATAGGGGCCCTGATTAAGCTTGCTTCTTTTAAATAAACCAGTTCTAATTCACATCAGTAATAGGGGCCCTGATTAAGCTTGCTTCTTTTAAATAAACCAGTTCTAATTCACATCAGTAATAGAGGCCCTGATTAAGCTTGCTTCTTTTAAATAAACCAGTTCTAATTCACATCAGTAATAGGGGCCCTGATTAAGCTTGCTACTTTTAAATAAACCAGTGAAAATGCTCACAAAGCGTGGAGCGCCCATGAAGCCCGTCTGCATCTGGAAAGGACTTGAAAAGGGTGTCTGTGGTGTAGAAGAGAATGGGCCAGTTTGTAGCCCTGCCAAATCTCCTAAAGCAGATGAAGCAGGGGAGACAGCTGCCAAGCAAACAAAAATAACAAGTCATTTCCCAAAACACCATTTCCGTTACAGATTTAAAATAAATATCCATTTTATTTGTAACCGCAACAATAAACCACACAAGTCTTGTTTTTTAATAAATATAATTTTGATGATGTCAGTCAATAGGTGTTACCATTTTAAAGGCTTCCCCAACCGTTGCACAGATGCCAGTATATGGATGCAGCAACGTACACTACCAGAACCAGAACATGTTTCAAATAAATAAAATAGCATAAGTTTGAGAAGAATCTTGGATTATATTTAAGCTTTTAGAAGTCAATATCTAATGTCAAAACACTTACGGCTTGGTGCAGCGTTTGATGACAGTCCCCAGGGATCAACAATGGAAGCAGTCCCTGCAGATGAGGGTGTAGCCAAATTGGCTAACTGTGATGTTAGTGATGGTGAGGGTGATGTTGGGGAAAATAAAGAGTCACTTGTGAGGGAATCGAATTCCAAATTCTTGATCTGCTCTATATCCTGGTAAGAAAAAAAATGAGATAGCTAATTTAAATTCCAAGATATCTAAAAATAACTAAACTTCCATCAGGTGAGCCTTGCTGCAAGAAGCTCTTCTTAGATGCCAAAAGATAGCATTTTATGAATAACAAGGGCAGATCACATTAATGGCCATAATAATCTATAGATCAATACACAATTTCTGATGATATATTCCTATTCAATGACATAAAACTAATAAAAGAAAAACTTCCAAATTAGGTTTTAATTCTTTGCAAAAAGTTATTTCTTTAAAGTTTTATGAGTCATCAAGAAACAAAAATAAAATGTACACTGGAAGGGTAGTTACAATTTGTATATTTCTTTAAAAATACTTAATTATCCCCTTGCACAAATCAGAAAACAAAAATACATGTAAAATAGAATAACACACACGTTTAATTCCAGTTTTAATCAAATTTTACAATGCAAAAACTTTCTTACTTGACTGTATTCATTGTTATCTGAGGTCTTAACTAAACCAGAAGCAGGTTAGCTATAAAGATGAGCCTAAGAAACACTAGCTTGTAGAAACTTTGGTGATGCCAAGTATTGAGGTGTAAGATATTGGGACAGGCTCTGCTTGACTTAAGTTTTATCAAATAAAACCAAGAAAATTGCAGTAATGGGTTGCATACTTGGCAGGCAAGTTAGAACAAGTAAAGACGGTGAACTAAACAATTCATGGGCAGGAGACAAACATCAAATTTAGTCATTAGTATCCAAACTGCAGAAATGCCAATGAAATCTGGGCAGCATTAAATTTTAATAATTAAACGACTGCATTCAAGTTCAAGCTAAGTAAATGAAATAGCAAAACAAGGAATGTGGAAGCTTGAATTTAAGGACAAGATACAAGTTTACTGTGCTCTGTTCCTTGTGATATTTTCATTTGTCCTGTGCGTTGAGGAAGGCTCTATGCCGAAACGTTCGGATCTTATTGCCTTGTCCTTAAATTCAAGCTTCCACATTCCTCGTTTTGCTATTTCTTTAATGTTTAAAAGGTTTTTATTCTGGTACAACAATTTGAAGGTGAACGAATCAAAACCAGAAATTCATTGTTACTGTTACTGGTTATTTTAAATCCTTTATTAAAATATTTCTGAGCAAGCATTTAAAGTTTTACATCCATTTGATTCTACATATCTAAGCAAGAGGGAATTTCGGTTGTTTCTTCATCTCAAGAAAAAGATCAAGAAGCAGATTTTAAGTTCAAAATGATATAAGCCTAGATGCAAGTACTGAAATTGCAATCGTATTATCAGTCACCGAGATGCAAGTACTGAAATTAAAATCATATTATCTGAATTATATCCTGAAAAATTTACTTTTATATTATCTTAATAGCATGTATCTTTATGCATATGTATAAGTACCATGAGTTGTATGGCTATATAATAAAAGGGGTTCACAAGACAATTTTGGTAAAAAATGGTTTAATAATTGAACTTTTTTTTTTTAAGGCAGAGAAAACACCCACTTTAAGAATATGATCCGCCTGGTCTTCAAGGTCAAGTAAGTTGGCAACCTGCTCTGCCTGGGTTGGTGGGTTCACTGGAGCATTGTTGGTTGGCACCTGCATGGTAACTTATGCATTACATTCTATGCAATAACAGATGGTACCAGAAGATTTAAAAGCAAAAAAAAATTTTTTTTAAATGCTGCAATGTATGAATACTCAGATGTAATCTAACATTCTCATATGACAATCAATCTATTAACCATCCATTAACTACTAAGGCCTCAGTATTCAAACCAACAGAAATCTATATCATGCTTAAAATTGCATGCAATAATTATTTAAGAAATTAATAATTTTTTTTATGGTGATTAAATAAGCATCAAAAGCAAATTGAAAAGTTACTTTAGCAATAATTATTGCCTTTCTTCTTTAAAAAAAAATTATTAAAAAGTACATCATTTTTTTTCCACTTTTTTCTGAGTTTAGCAGTGGCTCTTCAAAGTGGGTAAAAATGACCAAAATTGGCCTTAGAAACAAAAACACTAAAATTGGATGATTTATTTAAAGAGAGAATAATTCTTAGAAACTAAAACGAAAAATTAATTTTGCCTTATATATGCAGACCTGTTTACCCTCATAGTCCTAAAATGTACCATTCGTCTAAAAATCATAAAATTCAGTACCGGTATCCTAATAAAAAAATTAATTAACCTACAGCATGTATAAGGTAAACAAAAACTGCTTGCATCTCATGTCTAGTGGAATCGAGTTAAGCTGGTGTCAAAAAAGGAACCTTATAAAGTAGATATTACAGTCTCATTACTATCAAAAGCTGTAAATGGGTGGAAGGAAGTCGGCCTATTAAAAATTGTACAGCTGTTTTGTGCATTCTAAAAATAGATTTCAAAGGTCCTCTCAGATCCTATAAAATATGTTGAAATCTAATGTTGCTGCTCCGAACATTTGAGAATGGATCCTCTAGTTTTCTCCATTTCTGCACTCATAGCGGTTAACTATAAGAAATTACTTTCACACCATTATGTAATTGTCACAAAATTATGTCACACAGTGCATAGGCCAACAAACGCGAGGGCCATCTATTTGTGGTATATAAAAAAAAAAAAATTCAAACACCCCCCCCCCCCGTTGTTTGGGTGCTTTTTTTATTACAGAAAACCCCCCCCCCCCCCCTTTTCTTTATGAGTTCCTGCGGCTTGTTCACGGGCTCACAGAGAAATATTTTTTAAAAAATTAATTTTCACTTTTAATCAATTATAACATCTAGCGGTCGTGGTGCAAATAGTAACTCATTTGAGTAACTACTGTTTGCAGTTTCTAGATGGAGCTTAGTGACCTACATACGTGTTATATTTATTTTTATCCAACTATTTATTTCATTTTATTTATGTTTTTGATATTTTGAGGTGTATTTGTAAGAATTTAACACAGGGAGCCTGGTGAAAACCTAAATTTGGCCTAGGTGCCGGGAAACGAAAATTTTAGAACCACTGGCATAACCCAACCAAACATATTTCACATGCATGTTGCACATTTGTGGGATATATTTTGCTGTAATACCTTAATACTGAGTACTATCTGAGTATATCTAGCGACTTCATTTATGAAAATACATGGCAACATTATGACAATAATCCCTACAAAACATTGTGTGATATGTTTACAGCATTCGAGATATAAATATGCTATTTATGGACTTTCGGAGTAACAGGATGAATATTGTAGAATTTTTAAATAGTGTACATACTTTCTGCTGAGACAGCGTAAGCAAAGTCTTAAATATTGACATACACCTCAGTGTATACCTTAAATATTGACATACACCTCAGTGTATACGTGCTATAAAGATGGCCCTGGATTTACTAAAATTGTCACTAGGGCAACTGCGCTAATATTACTGTTGTCATGTCTAGCGAATGTATTATGAAAACACAAAGCAACTGTGTGACCATCACTATTATCATTACCAAAATTTGGCTGAGTTCATTTTTTAGACCCCAATCCTTCCGACACAGCCGTGCACAAAATCTCCTAAAGCAATACCTATCCATTCCTCTTTCAGGGCAAAAGTTATATAATTATAGATGGTTCCCAACCAATCGTATTTCTCAATTAATTCACTGCTGGATGTAGAGTGCAAAAGTTAAAACTAAAAACTGAAAATGTACTTAGAATTTTTTTTTTTATCTTGGAAAAACTTCGGAATGTATATATTTTTAACCCGGTCTCTTAAAATCCTAGTCCTGACAGGTCTTTGCATACAATCATATAAGAGATCTTAAAATCTTATATTGTACACCAAAATCGTAAGAGTAAACAGGTCTGTATATGCATCATGCATGTAAAGATATACAATGACAGATTTCAAGAGACACAACATTTTTAGCGATTCATTCCATGGCTATTGTTACAGAGGTCATGACAAAAGCTTTAGATCACTAATTATTTAAAGTGAATTTAAAAAAGAAATAAGAAATATAAAGTTTTCTACACACTGGCATTTGGCAAGAATTAAGGCAATCATTGAAACTTATAATGTGATATCATACCTGATAAATATTTTCTCCATCAGCATTCGCTTTCTCCAGAGGGGCCTATGAGAAAATTTAAAGTATTTGCTATGATTGATCTTTTAAAGTCAACTTGGCTATATTATTTAAAAATATATAAAGAAATCAGAGTTTGGCAAATTAAATGACAAAGTTATGATCCCCTGAATTAGAAAAAAATTAATAAATAAATTAAGTATGTCATATATAAAAAAAGTTTAGCATTAAGAGGCTTAATTCATTCCTGCCATACATCATAACTTATGACATTGCTTTGTTTGAAACTAAATCATGAGACACTTGAATGTCACAGAAACAATTATATTTTGTCTGGAAAAATTAGAAGACCAAAGCCATGACCAGTTAGACCAGATTGAAAAGTACATTTCTGATACCTGCCCATTCCCCGAGGTAGACCCATCCCCCGAGGGCTGTAAGTTTCCCTCATTGTTGTTTTGAGCAATTTCTCCTGTCTCTAAATTCTCTTTGGCTTCATCCATCTCCTTCTTTTTCATCTCATAAACCACCTGAAACAGGTCCCTCAAGGCCAAGACCAACTGTTCAGCCTAAAATAGTCAAAGGAGGAAAGTAAAATAAACCTTTAATTACAAAAAAGCTAGCCATTAGAGTAACTGGATGTTGAACAATAGTGTATCCTAGGTGCTAGAAAGCTTTCCAGGCACAAATAGGATAGCAAGCCGCCTTTGTACTCATGGTTGAAATTAACCTTGGTCATCTTCGCATGCGAAGAACGAACAACAAGAATCAACATTAAAATAGGTAGTGTGCTCATCCTAATGAAATTTAGATACTGTGATGGTTGAAATGTCATTGATAAAAAGTTGCAGCCCCATCCTGATTTCATTGCTCAACAATTGTCAAAATACAAAATTCGAAGGTATGAAAGTTTTTAATATGACAGGAGATTTTGAAATCAAAACAAATGAATGGGAATAATAAAGGTCACTTTTTTTCTGAACCAAAAATAAAAAAAAAATTAATTACCACACACAAAAGGATGCTAAAAAATTCACTTATTGAAATTGCCATGACACACATTTCCAATAAATGTTTAAGGACTTAATTAAACATAACCAATATTTTATGAAAGCAACTAATATATTTAAGGACTTAATTAAACATAACCAATATTTTATGAAAGCAACTAATATATTTCTATGTAGGCCAATAAAACCCATAATTGTTTTAAAATTTAATTTCTACAACCAATAATTTGTCTTTTTAAAAATATCCCAAATTACCATTGCATTCATAATAAAAAAATTCAATTTAAAAAAAAACAACTTTCTATTGAAGACAAGTTTAAATGAGTTTAAACGCACTGAACAGTAGAAAATAATTTTCTTAAAATTCATTACGCTAAGAAAGTATGTGCAGCATTGAGAAGCACTCTATGTAGCCAAAGGATTCCCATTCAATGTAGAAGAATCTTAGATATATTTTTTTTTCTTCGTATTTTTTGAAAATATTTTCTGCACATTTCTTTGCATAATGAATTTGAAAAAAATGTTAATATGAGTTTTAAAACCAAGAGGTTCAAATAGAAAAGATGAGAACAATTATTTGTTGAGGTGCTTACAGCTGATGCTGTCTTGATGGCATAAAACTTGTGGGTTCCATCCTCTTCTCCATAAATATAGCCAAAAGCTCTGTTATCTGTAGTATCTCGAGATATGAAGGAGATCCGGTGGACAGCATGTGTATGTAATACTATCTGAAAATTAAAAGGTTTTCAGTAAATATATCTTTAAAATTTTAACTATGACTTTTTTAACCAATTGATAAGCTTACACTTTTTAATTTAAAACGAACAGTTTAATTATTTCAAAACATCCATTTAATTACATATTGTAAAAAATTGTTACCCTCTAAAAACATTTCCCTCTTTTTATATCCTTTCTTACATCTTTAAGATAGTTGAAATATTAATATTCTAAGGCTTATTTCATTTGATCCAAATGTGTCTTTCCCCAATCAGCAGGAACATGCCACCTAGTATCTATTTGAATTAAGGTCTCAAGCAAGGGTTTTTATATGGTTTTTCCAAAACATGAAAAATTAACATTTTTGGACAGTATCTGCTTATTCTAAAATCAGATTTTCTACATGGATAATTGTGTTAAAAGGTAAGGGACTACTGGTCTAGACACAAGCCTACCAAATCTTGTTCCTTTTCTGTTCTTTCAGTTACCTCTCCTGGTTTTGGACTCTTAGGTTCACCTTTTTTCTTAGTGTGGTTTAAGCTCTGTGAATGGGTGGAAGTCAGGAACAAGGGTACAATGGGTGGGCAGGGGTGTGGATGGCATACAAACATCCAAGAGGTTTTTGATTACAGTAAAATGGGGATGGGGTAATAGCAGGTAAATAAAAATAAAATAGTTATTAATTTTAAAGCAAATTAAATAGTGATATCCAAATATTCAAAACAAATAATCCTATCCTTGTTAAAAAAATAATTATTGGATTTAACTTTAAAAAATTATTTTTTCAGCACAGATCATTGTCAAATGAATTGGGGCATAATATGCTTTTAAGTTGCAATAAGTTTTCAGATGAAAATGAGATCTAGATCAACATAAAAAATCATTAAGAAAGCACAGAAAACCATTTAACTTGAGTTTTTTTATTTCTTGGTTAAAAACATATCTTCGTTGGAAATAAAAATGAAATGTGTCACAAAAGATATTATTTTCATTCTGATCTAGTGCCCACATGAGTATGAGCCCTAAACCTTCAGTCAGATGCTTTGGGAACAAAACAGTATTTTTTTTCAGGAGAGAGAAATTTTAAAAAAGGGTTAAATGACATGGATATAGGTTGGAATACATCACAGCATATAATAAAATTCATTTGTAATTTTACAAACTTTAAATAGTGTTTCTCAAACTGTGTTAATGGGGTCCATTTTTTAAATGCACTTTTATTCTGCTTTTCAATTCAAGTTGTGAGTTTTTTCTCTCCGTGACTATGATCTATAAACATCGTTAGTGTAGAGGATTTTTAACTCACTTTGAAAAACACTACCTGGGAGAAAGCATTTGAATGAGCAGTGGTTGAGTTTTTACAACTAATTTCTTAAACAATCTTAGAATCCCAAAACATGTTGTTGAAAAAAGTCTTGTACACTTTCAGCACTCACATGCTCTCTGTACTCCACAGCAGGTTTTAAGGTCAAGCTTTGTCTATGATCCCCTGAGGGCTGGGACAATTTTAACACATACATTTTACTTATTAAAGTCACTTTAGCAGGAGTTGGTTTCATATTTAAATGAATTATGGCTAAACACCCCTACTTTTTGCTATAGTAACATATTATATATCCACATAAATAAGGTAAAACTATTATGAATTTTAATAACATTCTTTGCTGTTTCAGTATAACGGTAAAAAAATGCTATGCACTTAAAACAACTGATACTTACAAAGCAAAAGGCTTGTAGGATGAGGTTTCTAGTCCTTAAACAAGTGACAAAACTACAACAAAAAGAAAAGAATAATTCTCACCAAAGAAATTGCGTCAATTATTTTGAGTCCTTCAAGTGTGACCTGAACAAAGATCTTTTGCTTGTGCTGGCCAGATATTTTGACAGAGTTCTTCAGTTTTGTTATTGTTTCCTGGCACATCTGATCCCCCCGAGCCTCAGGTACATTCTCTATTCCTATAAGTTTGGCTTTGTAGCTTAGACCATTGCCAGCAAATCTGGCTGGGTCATTGGGACTAAGAACTGAAATAAAATTTAAAATGTAACAAATAAAAATAAAACTTTTATATATTGTAAGGATATCCTAAATTAAGTGAAAAACACAACAAAAAAAATATCAAAAAAAGAAAATACCCTATGTTATGAAATACTTTAGCATAGATTCAATTCATGTGTATCAATGTTTTATGATAAAAAAAATCCTCAAACATTAACAATTGTTGCCAAACAGAATTAACAAATGGGCCACACAACGATATGTGATGTTCTTTTATGAAGCACCAATATGGACTATAACTGAGATGATGCCTTGACTTTTCTTAACTGCATTCACTTCTCATGATACATTAAAATGTAATGCTAATTTTAAATCCTACAAAAATTTAATTGAAAAAGTAGTGGCTTCAATAAATATAATATAGATAAATACCTACCTTTCTTTCCTCTTGCTGCCATAGTTCACAAAAACAACTTTCTACAAAAGATTCTGTTAAGGAAAAAATAAGGAAAAAAAAAAAAGTAAATTATTATATAAACATTTAAAAGTTGTCTTGGTTGGCCTAATGCAAATAAAACATCTTGATTCTGGTCAAGTAAGACAGCAAATAAAGTTGAGAGCAAAACCTAGTCATACTTATAGAAGCTGAAGAAAAAGGGATGAGATTAAGTCTAAGAAAGAGTTCTCCAAATCTCTTATAAAAATATATATATATATATATATATTGTTAGTGGCGTGGCTGCTTCCTATTCACAACAGTCCCACCCCCTACTCACCATATTAAATATTAATTGTACTGAGTGAAAAAAAAAAATCTGTTTTAGCAGCAAGCGTAATGTGTGATGGTTGAACTCAGGTAAAAAGGTAGACTTTTTTCGGAGGTGATTATTATATTAATTAATAAAGAGCCACGATCATGGTGTAGGACTGTCTGTAAGTCTATTGCTTAAAGGCTGGCAGTTAGGATGTAGGACTGTCTAAAGGTCAGAATATATTAGAGAAAATGAGAATGTTAACATTTTTTGGTAACATTTGGACCCACCTGGCATTTTCTCAAAATACCCCAACCTGGTGTAAAAAAAAATGCACCTGGTTAAGCCCTAGTTTATTATATTTTGTTAGAATAAAATTTTACATCTGAAATAGTTTACCTCAAAAAACATTTAAAAGGAATGCTCTACTGATGATACTTAAAAAAAAGGATCAAACAAGTATAAAATATATATATATATATTCTGATACAACACTATCACAAATCCACTAAAATTAGTCCAACTTTAACACAAGATAGATAACCAAAAGGTATTGAAAAATCCACTATTTAAAAATGAAATCACCTAACTTCCTACTTAAAAAAAAGAGCCAAATTAGCACATTGTGTGGGGTTTCACTGTATTTAAACAGGACACAGAAGATTAAAACATCTGATCATTACTAAAAAAATGTTAGCCTCAAATAAAACTGACTATTAATCCACTTCAGCTTCATTCAATTTTTTTTTAAATGTTTAATTATTATGAATTTATCTCACATAAAAATCACATATCATACTAACCTAGAGAAACAGCAACTCAGTTTTGGCTATAGACCCAAAATTATAGGGAGATAATCTTTAATAATAAATGGTATGCAAAAATATCTGGCCCAAATGAAGTAATAAGAACATATCTAGATTGATACACCCTGAGAAGATAACTAACTTTTATCTCAGCAATACAATAAATGTGCTACACAATATGGTCTGAAAGATTTATCAGGTAATATGAGTAATCACTGATTGATGCAGCTAATTATCTTTTTTTTTATACTGAATAAAATCAAAATCTATCACATATCATTTATCTCAGTTTTGGACTTTTGAGTTCAGTATAGATAAATCATTTAGCCTAAAAGATCACTTAGATCAGGTGTCCTCAAACTATGGCCCATAGGCCAAATCTGGCCTGCCAGGCCCCCAGAGGGGTACCAGTTAGAAGTGACAGATATAGAACAGGACATTGCTCATCTCATTAGCCTAAAGCAGGCACACACTTTTCATTGAAATAATAACAAGTTCATGTTGATTTTCTTCATTTTAATTATGGTAGTGTTTTTTTCTGTGCAGTGTGCATAGGAATTCATTCATATTTTGCAAACTATGTTCCAGCCTGATCTGAGGGAAAGGCACCCTCTTTAGAAAGTTTTATTGAGGACCCCTGATGAAGATAATATTCTTTATTTTAATTAGTGAAAGACCAATAACAAAGAATATGAATTAACAAGTGCAAACATGCATGCTGCAGATAATTACAGTCCAGTGTTTGAACTCGATCACTTAATTTATTACAAACCACTATGAAATTGTTAGGCTCTCTTTTATAATTATATAGATGCTGATACTGAAAGGCTTCATTGTAACTTATAAGCAATATATTTAAGCTCACAATGTCTTGCAACATTAGTTTAAGGGGAGCCACTACTCCATAAGCTTGTTGTTTTTTAAAAAATATTAACACAAAGTGAAGTGAAAAACAGATTTTGAAGAGACATTATTTAAAAAGGCTTATGAAAAATGATTTCATTGAAATATATTTTCAACACCCTTATATGCCACTATCAATTACATAAAGCCCTATTCTGGGTTAGTTTAGTGTCGATGAAAATTAATGTTGCAAAAGTGTTTTCAGAACTACAGGTTAAGAATAAGCATTAGTTACATGATAAAATTTAATAATTGAATGGCCTAAAATTAAAATCTTCTAAAATTATGTTTATGACATGGAGCAAAAAAACGGTATATGCCCCATAAGCCATGATATGGCTAAGTCTGATAAAATTCTTATTTAAATCTTTTAATTTTAAAAAATTCGGTACTTCAATTTTAATTCACCGCAAAAATTATCATTATTCATTTTTCCAATAAAACAAATGTTCTTTAGAATAAAAACGTTTAATTCAATGAAAAAATTATTGTACATTATACATTATTTCTCATTTCCATTAAAACACTTCACACTTTCAATAAAACAAATGTTCTTTTGCATTAAAACATATTTACGTCCTTTAAAGTCCTCCGCTACTGTGGTGGCCAAATTTGAACAATATCATCTAGAATGGCGCTGAATAGATTCAAAACATTTGCTTTAACACGTCAACGCAAAATGAACCCACACATATAAGAAGCAAGTATATGTCTGTGTGTGCCATTGTTTTTCTCTTTTGCCAATTTCCACGTATGTTTGATGCGTTGAGTTTTGGCATTCCGTTAACTTTGTGGTTGTTAGCACATCATCTGACAGCATGTATAATACAGTGTTGTTGTAGAAACAAGATACAACTGACTTCATTGTGAACTAATGCAGAAATTGTCAAAGAATTCATGGTGTATACAGAAGCAGTTGTATTTGTTAAACCGGATATAACTGCATAGACGTAAAATAGCAGTAATGATAATTTTTGCGGTGAATTAAAATTGAAGTACCAAAAATTCAAATAATAATTTAAAAAACATGTAAATAATACCTTTTCTTGAATGAAAACTTTGTAAAACATGAAATATTAGATGAATTGTATCAGTGAGCCTATGCATCCTAAAGAGGAAGCATTATTTAAATTACAATCCTTAATTTAAGGCTAGCTTATGCAACATTTCAGAATATTAAAACATGTGAATCAAATGGACAACTGTTGTGTAGTCAAATTTGCAAGAAAACTGATTAAATATGAGATTTATGCTCTTAAAATTAACCATCAAGACAACTGGTAAATTTACAAATTTAAAAAAAAAAAATTTTTTTTTTGTTGAGGTGAATTAAAATTGAAGTACAGTGTATGTCATAATTATTAGGTTTACCATAATTCTAAGGGTTGACACTGGGGTGAAAGAGAGTATATGATTCAGTAATTAATATTTTGCATAATTCTAATGTTCTTAGAAACAAACATATACTTTTAATGTAAAAGCTTAGAAGGAAATGAATTTTTGTAATCTTAAGTAAAATGACTGTAGCTTCTATCCACCTGGCTCTTTATCATGAAAATGGGTTGGCCATGACCACACCTGAACACATACTAAGAGACCCTAAATTTACACATAAAGCTATAATGATATGAAAAGGTTAGCTAATAAATTAAATTTCGTAAATATAACACTCTTTACTCTTTCTATGCAGTTAATCAGTTAAAGCTAAATATTGTTATGTTCCAAAACTAAAATTTTACAGCATCAAAATTAACCGCTGCAAAAAGTTTAGGAATCCATGCCCTAGAACATTTATAAAGATCACCCTCCTCCCTCCGGTCAACAATTTTTTTTCCATTGCACTTCACGTGGTAGCCCAAATTCTATGACTACTGTCTCCACATTCAAACATAAATTCTCATGACTGTCAAAATCGCTACACTCTGATTCTCCTCCACTAGGGCATCCTGTAACTAGATTAGATGCCATTTTTCAGATGTCTTTCAGTGATCTTAGTTTAATATTAAAATAAATTTGTATTTGAGAATAATTTAAATGTTGAAATGTCTGTAATTTAGCATTATTAATAATATTAAGTGCAATTTTTTCAAGAATGTTCAGTTTTTAATGTAACTCACAATTGCTTTAACTTTAACCCACCCCCTCGTCATAAAAATGTGACCCTCCAGCTCCTCCCCTGATGCCTGGTCCTGCCGTCATTTAATATCATTTGTCATGTCATATTCATTATCATTATGATTATGGATGGCAACAAAATATGCTTAATTTGCTTGTAAACTGTAACTTTAATTAATTTTGTTTTATTTTTAGAAAGATTAGACCTCTAAACTCAAAGACATAATAATAATTCATAATTAAACAGCAGAATCCACTAGAAACTCTAGTTCACAATTGAATCACTCATAGTACACTCGGTTACTCTGCCGTGGAAAGGGGGCGTGTCCAAGTATTTACACAATTGTTCATCTTTGATAAAACGATATAACAAAGCAATTATATTTATTATAAAACTTTACAACAATTCATTTTAAAAATAATTACTTAAAGTATATGTTCAAAAGGAATATTGAGTCAATCGATAACTTCTTCATCTCAATACTTACGAGTTAAGTCTCATTGATTACGTTACTCATACTCTATGCATTTACTACACTCCACTAAAGTGAGTGAACTCTGTCTGGGACACTACGGTCCACCCAATGACAGTGATTTAGTGGTAATTGCCAGATTTGCATTTATTATGAGTAGATTTTAAGATAATTTCATTTTTAGAATTTTAAGTTACAAAGAAAAGATATGTATGCTTGAACCTAATAAAAGTGTGAACCTGATTGGACTCAAAAAGACCGGTGGATGAACTTCCTTATGTAGCTAAGTTCTTAATGTAATGCATTTATTTATGTAATATAGGCAACTGGTTGAAGAGGTCATTTTTACAAGAATTCATAACCATTGAAAAATATTTTTTATTAATGTTATTGTTGTGGAAATAGTCATGCCAGATTTTGTACGCCTTTTAGACTTCAACAATTGAATGTTTTGAATAAAAATTATTGAGCTTTTTACATTTAATAAAAATCATTTTAACACATATTATAAATATATTTTAATTCTTATTCGTTTTAAAATGTGGATATTGATAATCAGTTTATAGAGGCTGTAAACAATGACTCGCACTGTTAAATAAAAATGTACAATTAACTTTACATAAAAACAAAACACAACATAAAAGCACACAAATGTTATGAACTCTGGAAAATCCGGTCTCTAAACTAAAATTTCAAACAGTTGAAGAACGCTACACTACATTTCACTGAACTACAAGCTCTTAGGTCTCTGGAAAGAAAGCCACGTTTTAATTTCATTTAAGTATTATTGGACAAGTTGTTATCACTAGAGGTACATTTAAATTAAAACAAACTGAATGTTATATAATAATATATAGATATAACGTTGTCATTTTATTTAATTAGGAAATTCTAGGCCTAGATCTATTATTATTTTTTTAAAATTTAAACACATGGCATAGCCACTTAAGTCTTACTTAAGTATTAAAGACAAGTGTCAAGACTTAAGTTAAGAAGACTTAAGTAAAACTTAAAGACTGTAATTAGATCTTTAAACTTAACTTTTACTCTTTCAACAAGAAGACACTAAGTTTCACTAAGTACTTAGCATGTAATTTGAACTTCAGTTAAATAAAATATTGACTCGTAACTCGTATATTAAGGGCAGGCATAAGATAAGTCTAATTTAAGTGACTTTAGGTCAGGGCTAATTTTAGATTAAACTACAAGTAAAATCATAAGTCGGTAAAGTAATTTAGGCAGTGTCATATGAAATGTTCCCCGTTGACATTGTATACATTTTTGCTTTACCACTCAACCTGAATTTCTGTGTGTACCAGTGTGCTATGAATGGATTTGTTTAGTTCATTTTAATAAACATTTCATTGAGTAAGATTAACTTTAACAGTAGGCAGTAGCCTACTGACAGTAGGCCAGTAGGAGAATAATTCACAATTTTACAAATTGTTCTTCCTCTAAAAGTGATTGTAATCTCAGTTTTGTAGCACATGTTCATGTTGTTTTTAAAATGTTTTAATGCAGGATAGGCCAGTCATTTAACTTAAGCATCAGCATAGGCATAAGAACTTATGAGTTATGGAGGTAAACGTTTATTTTGTTAATTTAATGTGGCATAGGCTACAGCTGTTTTTTTCATACAATACTATATTGAAGTATTATTATGACATATGCAAGGCATGTTCAATAAAGTTTATTTAGTATAATTTGCAAATTCTGCTGAACAAGATGTGCGTCTAGTAAGAAGTGACGTCATTTGCGTGTTTTGTTAAAAGAGTTTTGGATTCACTCCCCTTATTTTTTTTGTTAATAAAATTACATTTTCATTAATATCATGATGGTACGTTTTAATTAACTTTTTATTGCTTCATTAATTATAATTTTAAAATTTTCATTTGTTGGCATATCATCATATTTTATTTGTTCCGCCACATTTGATAGATTTGGGGTAATGTTGTCGGGTCTTGTGTTTTTATTCTTTTTTTTATTTACTTTCGGTGGAAACTGAAATAAAGTGTGTAAAAGTTTATTTCATGAAACCGTAAGTTGGGCTTTCATTTTTTTAAAATTTTATAAATAATTATTTTTGACCCTTTTTAATTGTTTTTGTTCATTTTCACAGTTTTCTTGCCAGAGTGTGTAAATGTCACATGTTTTTACTTTCACTTGCAGCTTTAGGGCCAGTTTTAGGGTTCAAGTTAGGTTTAGGGATCGATTTAGGGTTCAGGTTAGGCTTAGAAATCGATTTAGGGTTCAGGTTAGGTTTAGGGATCGATTTAGGACATTTTTTTACAAATGTTTAATGTTTTCTTCCTAATTTTAGGAAATGTGAGTTATTTTATTTTTCCATGGCGGCCATGTTGGTTTCCACGACCTGTGAACATGTTAATGTTAGCGGGTCGTGGAAACCAAGATGGCAGCCATGGAATAAGACATGGTGCTCTCTCTTCTTATTTACCAGATGTGCTATTGGTTAGGTTGTAGCCCATAGGTCTCATTTATTTTATGATATCACTTGGATATGTTGTAACCCAAGGTCTCATTTATTATCTTTTAATTTATTTCATAAATTGCAGATGCCCCGAGGAAAAATGCAAGCATTAGAGAAAGAAAAGGATCCTGTTACTAAATCACAGGGAAAGAAACGGACATTGCCATTGGAGAAAAAAGATCATCCTGGACCTGGTACTAAATCAAAACGCTTGAAAGGTAATGTTAGTTATTCTGAAGATACCAGTATCTACTAAGTGTATAATTTTATAATTAATGAAGGAAATATATTAAATAGTTACAAAGGATGGGCCTAGGCCCTAGGCCTTACATTTTATTATTTATTTGTCTGTCCTAATATGTCGTAAATTTTGAATATCGGTTTTAGAGCTCTGTAGTCACTCTAGGCATTACTAAATCCAAAGAAGTTAGTATTCAAAATATTACAATCTATTTCTAACCATCAAATGTTTAAAACTGAGTTTATTCTCATATTTTTGGTCAAGTTGAAATTTGTTCATGTAAATAACATTATTATTTCTACATTTCAAGGTTTTCAAGCCATAGAATTATAATTTTCATTATTAGACTTTGTTGTGTGATACTAAAACCTTGAAATATATTTGTTTCTTAGTCAGTCATGACTCACATGGTTCAACCAAAGGAGAAGTGCTTACATGTGGCCAAGGAGATGTAGGCCAGCTAGGTCTGGGTGCTGACATCACTGAACGAACACGTTTAGCTTTTGTTGATATACCAGATCCTGTTATTCAAGTGTGTGCGGGTGGTATGCACACAGTTTGTTTGACAAACACTGGTCAGGTATGTGTAGCCTTGGTACATATATTTATCTTTCAGAAATTATAACATGTCACGGTTAAAAACTTTGTATTTAACTTGTAGAATTTTTGCCTAGAATCTTTGCATGAGAATTGATTCCTTAACAATATTCATCAGCATGTAAAAAATATATTAAAGATTTAAAAAGACATTTCAACATGTTAAAAAGGTCTCCTCTTTTTAGTACAGGTAAAGAAGAAAAACTACTATTAATAATTCTAACTTTTTTTTTTTTTTTTGGTAATCTTTCAGGTTTACACTTTTGGTTGTAATGATGAAGGTGCGTTAGGTCGCGAAACATCTGTTGAGGGATCTGAAGCTAAACCTGGAAAAGTAAACATTCCGGCTCCTATCGTCATGGTAACAGCAGGTGACAGCCATACAGCAGCTCTTACTGATGATGGTAGAGTCTATGCATGGGGAAACTTTCGGGTATGTAGAATATTTGAAAATTTACGCGATTTTATCATTTTAATCTTTAAAAGGGAAATTTATTTGTAATTAATTGTTAATTTCATTAGGTTCTTTTTAGGTAAAATTAATTTTGCAGTGAGGTAATGAAATTTTCTTATTTCTTCCTTCATGTGTTTGATCAATGCTTTCTGAAATTTAGGATGCCAATGGATCTATGGGTCTTACATCAAATGGAATTGAGAAGAAACCTGTGGAATTAATCCAGGAAGAAGTTGTCATCAAAATGGCTTCAGGCAGTGATCATTTAGCATGCCTTACAGACAGGGGGGAATTATTAACATTAGGTAAACTTGAATGTTTGTGAGTGTTTGAAAATTGAATTATTGTTACGGAAATTAAAATAAAACCAAGGTGATTATTAAAGTTTCTTGATAATTCTCTTTTCTTTCTGTCTCTGAAACAGGCTGTGCTGAACAGGGCCAGTTAGGAAGAATTGCAGAATGTTTTGCAACTCGCGGCGGTCGCAAAGGACTCGGTATTTGCTTGTTAATTTTGTAATATTTTTTTATTTCGAGTAATGTAACATTAAGGGTGTCAGTTCTCCAAATTAAGTAAATTATTTTAATAATTGATATTTGCAACTTTTATAGTTCAAGATTTTATTCCATGTTGTTTTTAAAGAAAAAATTATAAGGATTTCTCTATATTTTTTGTGTTACTGTTTTGATATGCATAAACGTGATTTAAACGATAGGATTTTTTTTCTCCATTTTATAAATTATATCACTTGCAGCAAATTTTAAAGAAAAATATTTAAGATTTGTTTATTCTTAAATCTGAAAATTGTTTATTGTCAAGTACCTGCTATTCTTCAGTAATGATTTGAACACTCCATTGCTTTATTTTTTTCCTTGACCGTATCTCTTTTTATATTCTAAAAAATACAGATATGATTCTTTCTCCCGGCCGTGTCAAAGTGAAGCGGCACAAATCTCGTAAAATGGCTCAGTTTTCTGACGTGTGGGCAGGGCAGTATATGACATTTGCCAAAGATAAAGAGAATGGTGACATATATGCATGGGGCCTGAATAACTATTACCAGCTGGGTGAGAGCTTGATCTGATTTCATGTTTACATTTATCTTCATTATAAATAGCCCTTGTAGGTTTCTATGAAAAAAATCCAGGTAGTTAATTTTGTTTCCTTCTTTGGATCTGATCATCAAAACCTTTTAATTTCAAGCATTTTCTATTTTAAAAGATTATGCATTATTTTCCTCATAACTTCCAAGTGAGTGTTGAATTTATATGTTACAATACATAACATAAAATTCACATATATCCACAAGTGTTCCATAACATGTACACAGGAAGAACATTTTAAGTTTTTTTAATGACATGATTTATTTACTATGTATTCAACTTACAGGTTTTGGAGATATGGAGAATAGATTTGTTCCTGGCCGATCACAGACATTTTCTGAGTCAGGTCCCTGGGAAATGATAAGTGGAGGTCAGCATCACACAGTTGCGCTAAACGCTAAAGGTGATTTTATTTATTTCATAGTGTTTTTTAAAAACATTTTTCTTCCTGTTTCTGCAGTTAGTCAGTAACATCAATCCCCTTCTCTTGTTCATGTACAGATATATTTTGTTTAAATACCATACTTACTTGTTTTTATTTCATAAGTCAACATTTTAGCCACAAGATTTATTATAAAATGCAGAGTCGACTTATTCCTGTGTCAGTGCTGGTTTCGATAGAATTTTATACATTGAATGCAAGACAATGTCGAGTTCGTGTTAGTGTACTACGGGCAGCCGTATGTTGACCAAGATACCAGGTATACACATTCACACAGAGACAAAAACAGCTGTTGATGCTTGACTGAAATCTGAAACCAAGCTACATGCATCATCCCTGACTTCTTGGTTTATCTATCGTATAGATGAGAGAGAACACTGATATAAATTGCAGGGATGTCTCTTGATACCACTGACTTTGAGAGTAGTACATAGCTTAGTATACCTGAACAGTGCAATGCCTGCTGCTTGGTAAAATCGTACAAAATTATAAAAATCACAGAAATACGTTACCAAGCTGTGTTTTACCCTCAGCTTATCCAGCAGTCATGGCATATTTCATAATTGTTGGTAAAAGAACTTCCCTCGACTTATAGACAGATTGATTTATAGATGTATATAGATTTTTTATATATAGATTTTTTTTATGCATAAGCCCTTATTATGTAGTCCTTTGATTAATGTGACTGTTTTTTTTGTATTTTAAATGCATTTTTAAAAAAATTTATTTGTCCACTAAGTGTCAGCATCAAAATATTAAATAAGCTAAGATTTAACTTCACTTTGGAGGTGGGTTTATGGAGAATGAGCACAGTCTTTTTTTAATACCATATTTGATTTGAAAAAAAACCTCTTTCCCTTGCAGGTAAAGTTTATACATTGGGCAGAGAAGACTATGGTCGTCTGGGTCTTGGAAAGGATTGTGGTGAGAGAAAGGTACCTACTCTGGTACCTGCTCTTGAAGGCTTGACAGCAATAAATGTGGCAGCTGGAGGATGTGTCAGTTTTGCTGTGACTAGTAATGGTGAGTTCTTTATTATGTACTGCTCTCAATGATAGCTTTTATGTTCATTTTGGACAAATGTATCTATAAAAATAAGACTAGATAATGTTAGTGGTTTTGGATGGGAGTAACTAATACTTCAAAAATTTCATTCACCAGGTGACCTCTACTCTTGGGGAATGGGATCCAACAATCAACTTGGCACTGGTGATGATGAAGATCAGTTTACCCCAATTAAGGTCACAGGCAAGCAGTTGGAAACTAGGTAAGCATCAAATACCCTATAGTTTATTGATATTTTTCTACCACAGGTTCTTTTGTAGTTTATGCATTTACTGTTCATCATGTCAGTATCGATATTCAAGAATTGATTTTAAATGGCATTAAGTGCATATGTATGAACATTTCCGGACATGACTGCTGCTTGTCAAGAAGAATGTGGTCACTTTTTCTTTGTATACATGTATTATGATCCCATTAAAATGTGTGCAGATGTAGTCAAGTAAATGGCATTACTGTAGCTGGCACCAAACCATATCAAATTAACGGTTGCCCTAACCATTCTTAAATTTGATGTCAACTGCTGCTACAATTTGGAATACATTTTTAAGGACTTAAAATTGTGACCCAGTTTGCTCATGGTGAATTCAATTAAGGACTTTTTTCATCATTGTTGTCTATAATGGAATCAATGTTGCAAGAGAATATAATTTTTAAAAATCTATGTTGATCTGTTCAAAAGCTGAGCACCCCACTTATTCCCCAGAAATATTTGCATAGTCTGCTGCAGAATGGGTATATACGGAATTAAAATGTTATTTCAGCTAAGGTATTTTCCTAACTAAACCATAGTCAATTTGCTTCTTTTAATGGTCCATTGCAAATCAAGTTTACCTGCAATTTATGTAGCGCTAGAAATTTGTTTATAATGCCTAAATTGCTTGTCATTTTGGATTAATTAAATGTCCTTGTTGATACCCAAATGGTATCAGAAGTTTGTAATGCACTTGCCTGGCATTTTTAATGGTTAAACTAGATACCTCTAAAGGACATTTGTTGATCATGGAAAATGTTTTGTAATATTTCTTTTTAAAGACTTTCTTTCTACACATGAGACTCCTGTTTGGTTAATTCAGTCCTCATGGTTTTTTTTGTTCGTCATTATGTCAAATACTTAGAAATTTCTTTTTCAGATCTGTGGTGATGGTCTCTTCAGGGGGTCAACACACAGTTGTATTAGCAGCCACAAAAACAGGAAATGGAGTAGCCCACTGATATCAGTTTGTAATAGTCTTATTCCATTAGATATGTTGAGCCCATGGTAATACTGACATTTATATTTTGGCCTGGGGATGTTGTATGCTTAAAAGATTTTAATTCATATGCAAGTCATACCACTGAAATGGTATTGCTTTCGTCAGAGACTCTTCAAATTAACAATTAATAGTTTTTAAACATTTAATATGTTGGCTCTGTATATTTTTGCTAGGATTTTCTGAGTCTACGTTTCAAATTGAGATAGTCATTGTATTTTTTGAGTAATGGTTATGACTTGGACAAAGACAATGTCTATCATCCTATATGTGATGCATGGTCATAAATAGTTTTTTAATATTTTAATTTGGGCTACAAAGAGTGAATATATGGTTTGTAAGAGTGTCTGGGAATAGTTTTATTAAAAATGTTTTAAAATAGTAACAGAAACTAAATTTCCAAAGATATTCATGCTATTTGCTTTTTTGTATTCTATGCCATAGGTATTTATTTTAGGGATTTATGTACTCTTAGCCACTATTTTGTTTACAAATATATGGCACAATAGATCAAATCTTTTAAATTCATAGTAAAGGTAACAAGTTCACTTTTAAAAATTTTTTTTTTTTGCTTGGACAAACTGGGATATTTTCATTTGTCCTAAAATTGCTTAGTTCTGAAAGTAATTTCAACGATAGTTTCTTTTTTTCTAACAACATGACAGCCATTACTAAATCTTGAAACTGTTATTTGATTGTTTCACTGATAATACCATGGATCTGGATATAATTGTAGAGTGCACAATATCAATCATACTCTGCTTTAATGGTGAATGTTGTGTGGGTTAATCTGTTTAAACTTTGACAATTATCTGTACTTTATCTTTTATACATTTTTACTACCGGTACTACAGTAATTCTATCAAAGTTATATGTTGAGAAGGGTAATAAGGGGAGAGACTGCAATCAGGTTAGCACAATATAAAATGAGTAAAAAAGAGTAGGGTTAAACCAGTAAAAAGAAACATAAGAAAACAACGAACGTGTTGGCAGAAAGCCTTCGTCAGCGAACGAAACAACAGAAAAAACGATATAAAAGTAAAAATAAGAAATAGCACTTAGCTTGGGAGTAGTATCCATGGGCCTCAAAATAAATTCTTATTTTTTCTTTTATATAATTTTTCTGTTTCGTTCGCTGACGAAGGCTTTCTGCCGACGCGTTCGTTGTTTTGTTACATTTCTTTTTTCAGGTTTAACCCTACTCTGTTTTACTCATTTTAAATTATATGTTGAGACTTTCTTTACCTGTGAAGCGGTGAGACATTCACATGGTTATAACTTATAAAACGAGAAGGAGTTTCTTAAAACCATTGAAATTTGAATTTCTCTTGAGGTTTGTCAGAATTAATAATGCTGAAACACCTGAATTCTTTTCTATTTGAAAAAAACAGCTGTTTTAAAGGGTTTAAGGGTCTTTGACAGCAATATAATTTTTTTTGATTGGATCTGATAATTGAATGATTGGTGGCAGGCTTAGAGACGCTGAACACAGCCGCTAGTGTGTACAGTATTACTTTGATGATTATTTATAACAAATTCCACTATCTGGCATTGGTTTGGGAATGGCAGACAAATAAATTTAAAAGATTGTGGAGCACCACCTGTTTTTGTGAGGAAACAGTTGATAAAGCTGTATTAGGAAAATGATTAGTTTAATGAATTTTTGTCTCCAGTTATGGAACTACAATTTTATTTATTTGGAAACATGGTGATTTGAGATTATAGAAATTTGTTGCAGAACACTCGGTGCTGACAGGTTGTAATTTAGATGCTTGACCACAGAAACATTAAATTTTTTAAAGAAGGTTATATCGATAGGACTCCATACTTAAAGTTTAAAGTATTTGATTTTCTTCATCAATTCCTATTAACTGCGGAGTTTTGGGGATTCGGGTTTTAATATTTTAAATTATATTTACAATACTGAAGAAATTTATGACCCCAGGCAAGTGTCTGTCGCTAACAATGAGGGGGTGGGCTCAAATGCAGTGAAAACCCAACTTTTCCTAGGAATATTTTACAGCACTGACAGGATATTTAAAAACTTTGCGTAGATAGTCTGATTCCAATTTTGTATTAAAAAAATGAAACAAAACTAAAGGAGGTACTGGTAACATGATGTTAATAATGTACATATCTAGTGTTCAGAGTCTTAACTTGCCCCATAGTCATTGAAATATCAGGTGGAGTTAAGATTCCAAGGATGTTCATTGTAGCTTACCTGATATTACACTTATGGTCAGCATTGGCTAATTTAATAGTTGTATTTAAATATTGTAATTAGCATGTGATTAATAAAGCAGGACTAACTGTTGAGAAGATGTTATTTTAGTAAGTTGAGACTTCAGTTTATATTTCACCTGCATGAGAATAAATTGTTTTAAAGTATGGCCAACAGATTTGGATTTTTCACATAGTGTTTGGGGGTTGCTGGCATCAATCATTTGTTATGGTCCCAATCCAAATGTGTTGTACATATAACTTTGTTTTAGAATTGTTATTGTCAATTTTTTTACTTCTAATTTGAATGTCTCAGAATGTATTTATCGACTGCAATGTTGCTATAATTATTTGTAAACATTGTCTTGTTAGTCTTATTCAAACTGAAACAACTGCCATGTTCCAATTTAGCACACTTGACAATACAAATTTTAAACTGCTAAACTACCTATTGAATACGCTATGAATTTTAAGATTTTTAATCAATAGAATTTAAGTGCACTATGTATTTTTAATATGTATTTAATATGTTTTCATTATTGAAAAACTTTTAATAATGACATGCTGATACTGTACTATAAATGTGTTGTGTAATGTTATGACTTCCAATTGTTGCTGCTGGATAATGAATAACAAATGTTACAATACAGACTTGTTTTTTCCAGTTCATTGTCGAAAGCTTGTGCACAATGTTGACTCTGTTCTCTTTCATCATGAATAGTGTGGGAGTTAAACAGATGACATGAACAGGTAGGTGGTCAGTCCATCTAATGGGACTTACATGACCAGTTAGGTGGTCAGTCCATCTGATGAGACCATTGGCTGAAGCTGTTTCGCTGCCGGTTGTTTCCTTGTCAAAGTTTATGAACTAATATTGAAATTGAAAAGGGATCAAATAAATTTAGTGGTGATTAAGTCAATGTTGAAGATTCGAGAACTTAAATATATTGAGTTTCAATAGATTTATATATAATCTCTACTATACTAAAAGGAGCCACATACAACTAGTAGGTCTCTGTGTAATAGGGAGTGTGATGCAGTAGTTATCACCTGTTTTCATGGATGATAGTGCAAAATATAGCTTATGTGAACAGTTTTATGTGGCCCACCCTAAGAGTTGGTTGACACAAGTGAGGTTAGTTCAATAGGCAATATGTTTGTAGATTAAGAACATAAGCGGTCAGGGGATTTCTGCTCAGGTCATTCATTTACGAAATACCGGTACTTCTTTGATTAAATTTTTGACTTAAAATGTTTGCTATAATTTAAAAAGAAAATCATTTTTAAAAAAGCAAATGTAACATTACAAATTTGAGTCCAAAGCAGGGGGCTTTGGAGCATCTGTTTTAAAGTGCTAAATATCAATGTATCCACTTAAGGGAAGTATGTGGAACTAACAAACAAGCTACATAAAAAAACCCACTATTGAACTGACGTTTATGCAGAGATTTGTTCTTAAAAGTTTCAATATTTTTATAATAACCTGCCTATTTAGATATGATCACTTTTTTCATTATCATCGTCTGTAAAATGCCCCCAAGTTATGGGGGGGGGGGGTTATGTCCGTATATTTAATCAACGCTTTAAATCTTCATACAGAGAATTGTAACTACCAATGGCACTGCTGTAAACTTTTGTAATTTTCCAAATTTTACCTTGACCTTTCTCTGTGATAAGACTAATAAGAGTGCAAAAACTAAGATCACACCTTATCGTCCCCACACTCACCCGTTATTATAAAGTCAATGGAGAATTTGGGGGGGGGGGGGG